AAAGGTACAAAGTGCTGAATGAACACTTCAGACGAAGCGTCAACGCATTTCCTTTGAAATTCACACCATCTTCCAAAAAGACACAATCACAGTATTTCTTCATCCTCCGATATATACATACAGTACTGTATACAGTCCAACTGTTTATTATGAGAATGGATGAAATCGGGTTTCTATATAGTCATCAGAAATTGTTGCGTCAATGGACAAAAGGACTGCTTTAACAAGCTTCAAACGAAACCATCCCTACAGCACCTATTCAAAAAGTCACACAGACAAAAAGAATAAAGATCGGGGACTTATTATTTTTTTTAATAGGTACCTCGAGAAAATGGGCCAGTGTGGCAACAATGGAAACCCTGACATCCCAGATTCCCATACATTTCAGGGCCACAATTGAAACAGTACTAGACTCAGGCACTCAGCACAGTTGACGCGTAAATAATAAAATTTAAAAAAAAATATATGAAGGAAAATGTGTTGGTTTTCGGAGAAAACAAATTTTCTGAGCACAGGGGAATAAGTAATAGACCCCATTTGAAATTTATAGTAAAAGGACTCTTGGTTGAGGTTTCCAAAGATGCAATGACAGTATTGTTGGGGAAGTAAAATGACAGTAAACTGAGTTTGAAAAAAACCCTGGAAATTAAGTTTAACTTTCAGTAATCTCTTTTTGTCATCTGAGCCCAATACAAAATATTTTGCATCAAAAATTCACAATAAAAATTGAATAGTCAGTTCGTCTTGACAAAAAATCCTGATTTAAAAAAAAATATGGGATCATAGAATGTGTTTTAGTTCACAGAAATATATTCAGGTCATTTTTCAACCTGTTGACCAAACATTCCCCCAATCATCACCATGTGAACATGTTTGTAAAAAAAAAATACAGTAATTGATAAGAAATTTTATGCAGTTTGAACAGCAGTGCCAATAGTTTTTAAATTCTATCCCCAACAGATATGGCGCATTTCATGGATCTTTCTTCAACTTTTTTTTTTTACAAATTTCTCTATTGACACTTTTTTCTTCAAATGCAAGATCACCCTTTCTGGACTTGCAATGTATACAGTAGTTTGAAAACCAAGGGACATCACTTTAGAGCATATTTAAATCATTGATTTTGGGACATATTTCGAATAAAATTTTAAAATATCTGTCAAAGGAATTATATAAACCAGAAAACTGGATTTTTAAATCATTATAATTATATCATTTGAACTGCCATCTCTTTTTGCATTTGAAACCCGGTGTAAAAAATCTAATTTTGCTCAGATATCAGATATTTCTCTCTTTTTTTTTAAACACAGAACAGCATCACAACAATATGTTTAGGTCAAAGGAAATCCCTCATTTATTAGGAAAAACACGCATCCGCAAGCAAATGAAATAAATGATTCAAAAATAAAAGAAACATTCTTATGAAACAGTCAATTACAACATACGGTCTTAATAATTTTCAGATGCATTTGAAACAATTTTCCCAAGGTCCTGACAATATGCTATGCAAATCTCATGAACATGAAAAATTATCGAGATTAAATACAACAAATTGATTTTTTTTTCGTATTTTCGCCATTTTCATCATCAGAATTATTCGATTTTTATCTTTTTTTTTTGTACCCTACATATTTTTCTTCACGAGAAAATCGCCAATTTCTTCCACAAGAAGATTTTAAACAGAGCTTGTTTGTCCCTCAAGAAACGTCGTTACCTTTTTTCTTTTTTCAAAAAAGTTTTTTTTCATTTAATTGCGCGTCCAGAGAAAAAATTAAAATTTTAAAGCGTCGCTCTTCGATTTCAGAAGAATAATCTAAAAATCTAAAAATAATAATTTAATTAACTCACTAGAGAAGAACCGCGTTGCGAAGACGACACGTCGTCGAGTTCCGGCGGCTTTGATCGCCGCCGATGCAGCGTAGTGTCGCCTCCAGCAGCAGCATTCGGCGTCAGTCCTGATGGCGGACCGCCGCCACCACCACCAGGAGGTCTCCGATCCCGGGCCACGACGGAGGCGCCATCTTCCGCCGAAAGGGCGCTGCACCCGCGTCGCATGCTGTGATCGTGGTTCTTGAAGCAACCAGTGCCAGTAGTGACGCCTTTGCCGCCGACGCTGTCGCCGCCCATGCTGTTGGCGTCCATCTGCGACATGTTGCGGCGTTGCTCTATATACATATTTCACGCCGCCGTAAAAGATTTGAAAAAAATATATAATCAAAAATAAAACACAGTCAAATTAACCTCCAAAAGCCTCCACCGTTTGTTCGTGAGAATTTTAAAGCTGTCTGTGTTTCATCAAAAACGCTAAAATAATTTGAAAATCGAGTATAATCAGAAATAAAATTCGTATTATTCTAGAAAACAATGAAAAATCCTGATTTGCGTTTTTTTTATTTTTACTAACGCTCCCAAAAAGTTTATTTTGATATCTTTATGTTTATGTGTGTGTGTTTTTTTCAATTTTTTTTAAGGAAAACTGCAACAGAAAGATAATAGCTTTTATAATAAAGACCAAATTTATTAGAATGAACATATATTTGAGTTGTCAATAATTTTGTCTTCGAAAGCCTGCCAAGAATTCTGGAATCATGCGTTAAATCTGCTGCTCTAATATATATTCCATGACCTTTCATAGAAGGAGCTTTACCAAAAAAAAAATATATATATATGAGAACTGTTCAGAGAAAAAAAAACAATCAAGCTCTTTTGAAATTTCATGCCTAAATCAAAGTGAATTTCACTCGACGGCTCGAGCTCACACGAATATATATACGGCCACCATTTGCGTGCACTTTTTTTATATTGATTTTTTTTTTGAGCTTTCTTTATAAATGTGATAGGGCGAAGACTTAGTAAGGCACTGGAGTACAAAAAGTCTATGCATATGGGGGGTTTTTCACCTGAGGGAATTAAAAAACCTGTATATGTGATATAAATAATTCAGCACGGAATTTGTGCAAGGATATTTTTTTTTGCTCGTGTCAATCCTTTCACGAAAATACACCCGTGTTGATTGCAAGCCTTGATTCCAAGGGAACACGCAGGAGCTTTTATAAATATATGAAATCCTCTCATGTGAACCCTCTCATTTTGGCCTTCCTGAATGGGATCGATTGGTCAATATTTTATGTCCTTGAAAAGGGCTCCAAAAGGTCTCTGATTTGAAACATGAATATATTTTTCGCTAACCCAAGCGTCGAGGAAAATAATAATTTTTAATTAATGAAGAATTCACAGACGCTCTTCATAAAAACATGGCATCTATTATACAAAAGAAAACATTTAAAATCTGAACACAGATGAACGAATATTTTTTGTGAGCTTCAACCTCAGAAGAATACCAGACAAATCCAGTTATGCATATCATGAAACCGCTCACTTTCTAATTTTTTAACTTTCTTAATGATCAAAGTACTGTAGAGAAACTTTACAAAATTTCCGATCAATCAAGTTTTTTGAAAGTCTGACTGTTGAAAGGGTGATAATGAAGGGTTGAATAATATTTGTGTTCTTTTAATTAAAAAAATTGACAGAAAGGCTTCCAAAGCAAGACATTGAAGGGAAAAAATAATAATATGGAAATGACTTTTCCAAGCAAGCAACACAGCTAGAAATTTGAAGATGCATACAATTGATATAAAGTGAAAAGGGGAATACGGAAATTACTCTTTTAAAATGTGGAAATGATTTTTGTTTTTTCTGATTTGAAAAATCGATGAAAAATTGTACCCAAAGCAAAAAATGAAAAAATGGAAGAAAATGGGAATAAGATGGAAATGACTTATTAGGAAGATATGGAAATGATTTGTCCAAACAACCAACAAAGTAAGAAATTGGAATTTTCATAAAATTGAAATAAGGTACACAGGTGAATATTGATATGACTGTGGATATACAGCAGTTATCTTATTCAATTTCAGAGGAGAAGTCAGGACCTTTTCAGTCATTTAACATTTTATCTATTTTTTTATTCTCTCCTGTACCTAATTACATTATCCCATTACACATGAGAAGTGCTGGGAAAATTTTCACAGTCGGTTTCCCTCTAAAAAAAAAAAAAAGAGTCTCTGAATCACTGCAAAAAAACTCTTTGGCCAGCTGCGCCCATCATTAGCAAAGAACATTACTGCCATGTTCCAACTTGCACTTTATATGCCTAACAGAAGAGTCTGGCTGTTATTGTTGGGGGACATGGAATGATTGAAATATCCCTTGTTCCTACTCCAATTGGAATAAAACACCAGCATTTTGCTGGGGTTTTAAAAAAAAGTACAACAGAAGAGAAATAAAAGAATAGGCACCAAAGGATAAATGGGATGAATGTGTTTTGATTGCCAGCTTTCTCTTCAGAATGCCACTCATAATCTTAGTAATCCTTCAATTTAAATACAATGAAACTTATTACTGACATTTTTGTTGTTCTTGTTATCAAAGAAGGGAAGAAAGTGTATGTATTTAAATCAGTTGTGCAATTGTACATTTGGGATGTATTTTCTTTCCTTTTAATATCCACATGCAGCTTGTTTCTCTGTTTTCCATTCTGATGTGATGGAATGTGTTTGGATGAATGTGGGAGGGGAGGGGAGGGGGTTTAGATGCAGGTGTCAAAAATAAAAATAAGGGTTGTTTAGAAAAGCAAGATTTGCAAGAATCGGTAAGGCCAATAATCCTGGAGGAGTTTTGTGGGACCAGAATTGACCTCAAGTTCCCACAATCTTCCTCCCAAACCTAGACTGTCCTTCAGATTTGTTTTGCTAAATCCTTGGGCTTCAAGGATCTTCTTGTATTGAAATAGTTTTCCTGTTTGGTGGAAACCAGCAGATGAATCAATCAAGTTTTGTTCTTCAAGTTGTGCAGACCTTGCAAAAGTCTGACAATTTTTGCGTTCCTTTATTTTTTGTTTGTTCTGTTGAATCAACATCATTGCTAACTGTCAGTCCAGTTGAAGTACCTTCTAAAGAACAGAGAACTTTTTATGTTGTAGAATATGATCCTGAAAATCAGGACTGACGTCGTCGGGCCGACTAGTCAAACAAAATAAATAGAAGAATAGGAAACTGTTAACTTAACAAAGAGAAAAAGGTTTGGATCTCTGTGATTGTTTTCTTTCTGTTGTTGTTTTCAATCAGAAGGAATGAGTTTCCTTTCTTGTCAAGAATCTATTTCTGACAGCAGAAACATTGCTTGAACCTTGTGAAGGCTGAAAAGCAGAAAATAAAGCTTGCTGCTCAATAATTCAATTCAAAATGAAACATTTTTGCATCAAACATTTAATTGGATGCAGAAACTATATGAATATCTGCAGTCATTTCATTACTGCCTGTGAAACGACAAATAATATGAATGTACATATATTACTTGAAATTAGGTGTTCTCTTCAAAACACAACTGATCATCTCTCATACAATGCCCTTGAGGTACCCAATTGATGTTCATTAGCTCTTTGTGTCCCTCCAATAAAAGCTCTTACATTGCCCTGTGTCCCAACCTCATCAGATCTCATCAAAAAACATCACCACCATGTGCCAATTCCTCCATATTTTTCCCTCTACCAAACTAATAAAAAGCCTGTTACATTGTGGCCTTTTGGCATTATAGTTGAATCATTCCATTTTTTTCTTATAATTTGAAGGAACAACAGAAATGGGATTACAGAAATACATAAAATAACAGAAACAAAAAGAGAACTGTAATGAATGCACTACAAATTAACAATAAAATATCTTCTTTAAAATACAACTGATTTTTTTTATTATCCACTCAAAAAATCCTCTTACATCACTCAATTATTGCATAACACAGGCTCTTCAACTCTTAAGCTTCCCAAAGAATAAAAGCTCTGAGATTGTCCTGCTAATGCTCCAATTTCATCAGAAGCAAAGAACATCATCACCATGTGCCAATTCCATAATATTTTTCTCTACCAGAACAATGAAGAACCAGTTGGGCCCTTTTATTGGCATGGTTGAATCATTGCATTTGTTTCTTCTAATTGGAAAAACCAATATATAAATAAATTCAATTATAGAAAACACATAACATAACAGTAACTAAGAAAGAGTTGGAATGAATGCACTTCACTGTACTGTACATTGAAAATTTATTTTATTTTTTAAAATACTGTACATATACAAATGGTTATTTTTATTATCATCTTATACATTTCTCTTCAAGTACTCAATTAATGTACAACACTGGCTCATCAGCTCTTTGCCTCATACTCCAATAAAACCTCTTACACTGCCCAGCTGATGGTCCAATTTCATCAGAAGCAAAGAACATCATCACCATGTGCCAATTCCACCATCTTTTTTTTCTCTGTCTCTCTCTCTATATATATGCCAGGATAAAAGGACACCCCTTGTTGGACCCCTTTTCATGTACGTCAGACAAGAATAGGACATGGAATGGTTGAATTATTCCCCCGTGTTCCTCTGATTGGAAGAACCACTAGCTATACCCCCTCATCCACCACCGGAGAATAAAGGTTCCAAATATACTGCAAATGAAAACCAGCACAGAAGCGTTAAAAAAAAAGTGGATGACGACACACACACATAAAATGGACAAGAATGAAGCAGCAAATGGAAGGGGTGGTTTTTTTTTGATTGGCCACAGCTGGTAGTGCAAGTTTTCTAGGCACCTGAACCGTTTGGGCTGGAACGGTAGTAGTAGTAGTAGTAGTGGCAGCAGTAAGACGTCGACGACTTTGCTGTACTACCTTCCGTCTCTTTTGGCCCTTTCCAGCGCTTCCCTCCGCTTCATCGCCTTCTCTCGTCGCATCTGGTTCTTGTAAAATTCCGCGAAATTATTGACGATGATGGGGATCGGCAGAGCCACGACGAGCACGCCGCAAATGCAACACACGCTGCCGATCATTTTGCCCAGGGGGGTTTCGGGGTAAATGTCGCCGTAGCCGACGGTCGTCATGGTGATGCCGGCCCACCAAAACGTTTCCGGGATGGACGTGTACTTGGTGCCGGGCTCGTCCTTCTCGGCGAAATAGCACAGACTGGAGAAAATCAGCACGCCCATGGCGAGGAACAGCATGAGCAGGCCGAGTTCCTTGTAAGAATTGCGGAGTGTGAAACCCAGGCTCTGGAGGCCCGTGGAATGTCTGGCTAGCTTCAGGATCCGCAGGATTCGCATGATCCGGAAGATTTGCACAACTCGCCTCACATCCTGATTAAAAAAATAATAATAATAAATATTATCAACGTTTAAAAAATGGATTGAAGAAGATCCTGATTTTTTTAATGTATACATATATTTTTTTTATTTATATTTATACAGTATATAATTTATATATACATTTTTTTAAATTGTTATTTTTAATTTTTTAAATTAAAAATTCAATGTAAAAAAAATTATTGAAGAAGCATTTAGTTTTAATTATGGAAATGTGGTGTCAATCATTTTTAGCTGAAAAATATACGGATGTAACTTTCGCACCCAGAATAAGAATGCCGACATTTGACCGAAATAAAAATAAATTTGTCCTTAAAATTTCAAAATACGTGAAGCTTATATATAAGAAGACAAAAAATGACATTCTGTTAATTCGCTTTCTCGAAGCAAAGCCATTTCAGATGTTTCACGGAAATTTTTGTCAGTCCGTGCATAAAAACCTCGATATTTGCTGGTAAAAGCAAAAATTATGAAATTTTTACGAGTAATTAATAAATTTTACTCTTGCATAAAACAAAAACCATAGTTGCTTCATGCGAAGTGTGTGTCATGTTCTTCTTTTTTTTTAGATGGAATATTCAAATACTGTATGTAAATATTTAAAGAGTTTCGTCGAAAATTTGTCCCCAAAAAATCACGAAGAATATATTATTCATTACACTTGAAAATTTCGACGCTGCTCGTCCAGAGGAAACCATATCGGCATAATACTACAATATTTAAAAAACTTCAAAATCCATAAGAAACAAAACTTTCTAGGAGGGTTTTCCCACTTTTTTTAAGATTAAAAAAGTTTGCCACCTCAGCTCTTACCTTCGGAAGGAGAAACTCTGAATAATTATTCACTGCTTGCTGAAATACTGTATATGCTACTTGAAACAAGATCAGATGACTTCAACAACAACAAAAATTGTGGAACAAAGTTTAGCTCCATTTGGTATAAAACATTTTGTGCTTATTCTGTGGAAAAGCCATATATATTGCGGATTAAGTCTGATGTAGAGAGAAAAAGTTTAATTTGCAGAAATTATTCTCTAATTCTAGGAAGAATTATCTGAATATTTCAAGATTGTACTTCCAAAGGAATTGTTTTGTTTAAAAAAAATTTTATAAAAATCCCTAAAATCATGTTATTATAACAAGACTTTCAAGATCACATTATTGGCATTCAAAGTTGAGAGATTTTGAATCAAATAAGAATATGCTGATGCTTTCCAATTCATTTTCAAAGTTCAGGAACAAAAAATGACATTCTGTTAATTCGCTTTCTCGAAGCAAAGCCATTTCAGATGTTTCACGGAAATTTTTGTCAGTCCGTGCATAAAAACCTCGATATTTGCTGGTAAAAGCAAAAATTATGAAATTTGTACGAGTAATTAATAAATTTTACTCTTGCATAAAACAAAAACCATAGTTGCTTCATGCGAAGTGTGTGTCATGTTCTTCTTTTTTTTTTTTAGATGGAATATTCAAATACTGTACGTAAATATTTAAAGAGTTTCGTCGAAAATTTGTCCCCAAAAATCACGAAGAATATATTATTCATTACACTTGAAAATTTCGACGCTGCTCGTCCAGAGGAAACCATATGGGTATAATATTATTTTTTTTAAACTTCAAGATTCATAAGAAACAAAACTTTCTAGGATGGATTTCCCACTTTTTTTTTTTAGATTAAAAAAGTTTGCCACCTCAGCTCTTACCTTCGGAAAGAGAAACTCTGAATCATTATTCACTGCTTGCTGAAATACTGTATATGCTACTTGAAACTAGACCAGATGACTCTAACAGCAACAAAAATAGTGGAGAAAATTTTAGCTCCACTTGGTAGAAAATTTTTTGTGCTTATCCTGTGGAAAAGCCATATATATATTGCGGATTAAGTCTGATGTAGAAAGAAAAAGTTTGATTTGCAGAAATTATTCTCTAATTCTGGAGAGAATTATCTGAATATTTCAAGATTGTACCTCCAAAGCAATTGTTTTGTTTAAACAATTATTAAAAAATCCCTAAAATCATGTTATTATAACAAGACTTTCAAGATCACATTATTGGCATTCAAAGTTGAGAGATTTTGAATCAAATAAGAATATGCTGATGCTTTCCAATTCATTTTCAAAGTTCAGGAATTGAAAGAAGGGAAGGAAATAGAAGAAAAAAAACACAGAGGAATACAGTATAGTAATAATCTCTGCAATATTTCCTCTACCCATCAGCACTGCATCTACTGTATTTTACACTGCCATTCAAAAATTTCAAATTGATGTCCCTCAACATACCTGGAAGGAGTCATTCTTGTTATTGGTCTCAATGAAAAGCGTGACATAATATGGCAGGATGGCCAGGAGGTCGATGACGTTGAGAGCACCTTTGAAAAATTGCCACTTGTTGGGCGCACATGCAAATCTCAGCACGTACTCCATAGTGAACCAGGCTATGCAAACAGCTTCAATGCGTCCCAGGTAAGCATTGTCTTTTGGCTCCCCATTCGCACCCACTTCTTGCAGGTCTGGGATTGTGTTGAGCACCAATGCAAAAGTAGCCAACACTATGAACAGGATGGACACCACTGCAACAACCTGCACAACAACAACAAAATAGAAAAAATCCACCAACATATGAAACATAGTACATGTGATACCGTGCAATTCAACCTCTTGCAATTCAACCTCTTGCAATTCAACCTCTTGCAATTCAACCTCTTGCAATTCAACCTCTTGCAATTCAACCTCTTGCAATTCAACCTCTTGCAATTCAACCATTCTGAAATATGATGGTCAAATTTGCAGGGAGGTTGACTTTCAATTTGACCTCCACCCCAGAATTTGACCTACTTGTCTGGCCTTTTTTTCATTTTTGTGCTGATATTTCTCAATTTCACAAAGTGTCTCACAATTTGACCGCTTTGCAATTCAAACTTAGTCTGGCAATGGATTAGGGTCAAATTGCAAGGTACCAACTGTACACATAAACTTATTTATGGGACAAAATACATCCCCAAAAAAAAACAATTATAAGATTTTGGAAACAAATTGGAAATGCAGAAAATTAATCATGACTCATGAGTTGCACTTGCAGATATGAATCTTGATCACAAAAGATTCTGAAAATTGGCCCTTTTCATGGGTTCAACAACACTTAGCTCTGGTCACTCTATAAATGCAGCAATGCTGATTATTGAATAAATTTCAGAACAGAATAATAATAAAAAGTATTAACAAAAACTTTTATTATTACAGTTAAATATCTGTCTTTGCCTTGAGGGAAATTCATTCCTAAGAATTAAGATATAGCAGTTTAGAAATATATTAGAAATACTCAATGAGAAGGTGCATTTGCTGGGATTCCAGTTGTCTCCAGCATTTGCCTCACAAGTTTCATAATTTATCCCATTTCATCCCTCTGAAGGGAGAAATTCTGAATCATTAATTATTTTTATCAAATGTGAAGAAGTTTTACTTGTGAGAAATTTAAAAAATAAAATTAAACAGATATTTTATTATTTTGGCTTGGGGAACTTTGCTGGTTCTGTTGTGACAAGCAAGAAGAAAGTGTCATCAGAAATAAATAATGTTTTTTTGTTTTTTAATTGTCCCATCTCAGTGAATTTTTGGCAAGGACCAAGCATCAGAATTTATTCTACAGAACATGGATATATACAGAGTACAGTGCAGTGCAATATTCAAGGCAATGCGGAGCCAATTTTCCATTCAAGCTTCTTTTTTTTGTTTGCTCTATATAAATGCCATTCTTTGAAATTTCAGGACAATAAAAAGGAATCCCTTCTTCTGCTTCCACCCACTGTGTCATCCTACTTCCGCGTGTCTCTGTGACTTCTCATGAATTTGACCTTGGTCCATGGCATTCTTCCAAGACTGTACTTGCCTTTTTGGCACAGCTTTGTTTATAGTCAAATCATCCAGCAGGTCATCAACCGTCTTCACACTCGTTAATCATAAGGCAATTCAAATCATGTTCAATGAATTTATTGGAATGAATGAATGAAGCTGTAGCCTTTATAGCCATAATTGAATCATATATTAATTCACAGCAGGTCATCAACCGTCTTCACACTCGTTAATCATAAGGCAATTCAAATCATGTTCAATGAATTTATTGGAATGAATGAATGAAGCTGTAGCCTTTATAGCCATAATTGAATCATATATTAATTCACGAAACAATATTATACTCAGCTGAAGATTGAAAACTATGAAGCGCATGATTTTTTTTTTATCTTCCCAAAAGTGTGCTGATATTAAGTCTCACTCCATAAACGCTATTTCGCAAAATGTATACTTTTCGTGATTTTTATACAGAAAAAATTGTCAAATACAAGAAATTAGCTCAACTGTTCATTCAGTTAATTTGAGATCGAAGAAATTTTAATAACCTGATACGATATTCGTTAGCTTCTATATTGTCAACTTCACAAATTTTTCTCACTCAAATTGAAGCATAAAAAAAGACACCAGTCTAATTAAGTATGAACCTAATTATAATTTGCACGTTTTTTAAGGGAATATAATTGGACACTATTTTAAGCCCAATAATGTATTAAAATCATGTTCCATCTAAAAACGGGAATTAAGACTTTACAAAATACAGTCACGATATAATAAGTTCCTTACGTTTACTCAAAAGCCTTTGAAAGCTAAGCTCTCTTTCAACAAGTACAGCCCCGACATTGGTTTTTTTATTTAGAATAATTTAGAATACAAAGCTTGGTTCGAGTCTCGGGATTAAAGATCTTAAAAGCGACTTGAATGCACTTGAAAACTTTCCCAAGCAGAAGCCTCGAATTAATTCCAATTCGCCGTCAATGGTTTAATTTTGACAGGTTTCTGTCAATAGATTCCACGAATGCAATTAAGCTTTCGAAAAAAGACGCAAATTTTGCGTTAAAGTTGCTCAAATACGTATAAGAGGCTGTAACCAAAAATAAATCTCATTTAAAAATAATAATAAAAATGTCCCCCAGAAGCGTCAACTTAATTTCGATTCTCAAACAATCCTTAATTCATCAATTCCTGTTCGAAGCGTATAAAGAATGCACTAAAATCTCGTTATACAACGAAATCATTGGAACCAGTAAAATAGCTTCACTGTACAGAAAAATTCGTTATAAAGGAACTCTTTACATTCTGGCTACTGCTGCGCAGGGACGTGAAAAATGACTTCTTTGTTACTAGAACGAGATTCGTTACAACGAAATTCCACTGTACAATAAAATATCGTTACAACGAAGCCATTAAGACCAGAAAAAATATCATAGCTTCGTCATAACAAAAAAAAAGGTTGTTAAATATTTCATTTAACATTATTGTGCCTATTGATGGGCAGGGACCTAAAAAAAAACGACTTCGTTGCAAATACAATTATTCTTTGAATCAAGATTTGTTGTACAGTAAAATCTCATTGCAACAAATACCATTTGAAAAAATGTTTCAGAATAAAAAACTTTCTTCAAAGTCCCGGCAGAAATCCTATAGGGTACATGTACAAAAATCTCGTTATAACAAATTATTTGTTATCAAAAAACTTTTTCCGGAGTCCCAACGAGTTCGTTGTAATGAGATTTCACTGTAAAGAGATTCCGCAGCCCAGCTTGTCGCGATTCAATGGCGGAAAAAAAATTTAATCAGAAGCCGACGATGAGCAGACCCTCACTTATTATACATACAGTAACAGACAAACGGCACTTTTGTGCCAAAAAGGAACCTATTCTTGGTCCAGTTCCAAAATTTCCTGACCCGCGAACAACAATCAGCAGCAGTGTATATACACACAACCCTTCGAGCATGAAAATAAAATTAAAATATAAACCTCGAAAAGAAAAGAAAGAAAAAAATCTGCTCCTTCCGAATGCCGATCATTTCTGGAAAAAAAAGTGTATATACAAAAAAAAAGCGATGCACAAATGCAGATGAGCTGGATATATATACAGTATATATATATAAACTCAGGATATTCGGTATAAGAAATGCATAAGCTTTCCCCCCCTTGTATCTTCCACATGGCCCCTTGTGATGGTCGGTTGAACCCCTTTGTCAGAACCCTGGCATTCGCATCACGGAATGTTTTGTGTTGGCTGTTTGAAAGGGGGGAGGGGGTGGAAAAAAATACACACACACAAACACACACATGCTCAGGAATGCATCAAAGTGTGACAATCTCATCTGGACATAACCTTCGAGCTATCTGGATTTTGATTATTTTCATTCATTTTTTTAACAAAAAAAAACTTTTTTTTTCTTTTAAAAATGTCAGGCAAAAGTCAGTTTAAGCAGTACCCCCTGAATGAATAATAAAATGTGGTAGATTCAGGTGGATTCCACACAGTACTCTCTAGGGAAATCAAAAGAAGCAGTGAAATTAAATGCAGGAGTAAGAGAACGTATGGAATATATGCAAGCATTCTATTTTAATCCTATGGATATAATACAGGAAAATGGCACCCAATTAGAGGAATTTTTATTTTTTTAAGCTGCAATTGTCTGAAGACAGAAAGAAACCCCCAACATTTTCCCCACTTTGGTCATTGGTTCTCAGTCCAGTTTTTTTCTTTTGTGGTGCTTTTGGGCACAACATTTTGCACAAATATCCCAACTCTGCTGCAGAATAAGTGCTCATGAAAGAGCTATGTATAAAAACAAATTTTCAACCACAAGGCTTTTGACATGTGGAGAGTTTGAGTTAGTGAGGTTCAACTGCTTGGTGACTCACTCTTAACAATTTAGTTACTACTGTGCAAAAATTTTCTTTGTAAAACAATTATTTTGTTCCTTTGGGTTTTCCCCCATGTTTTACAGGGGTTCTCTATAAAAAGTTATCCTAACAAAGCATTTTTTTTTAGTTCCTTGAAATTTTTTTTCGTAGAGAGAGTCAATCTGTATTACAGTTGAACCTCAATAATTCAAACCTCCATACATCAAATTTTCTTCACATCCCTGCCTGCAGGACTTGGAAACAATGCATTAAAAACCTCCCTAACTCAAAAATGTGTCATTGCAAACCTCTGCAACTCAAATTTTCTTAGGCCTTTTGGCTATTATTTTCTTTGCAAGTCACGAAAGAGAAAAGCAATAAAAATGTAACCTGATGTGTTCCAAAAGGAAGTGAAAAATTAATTGGGCAAGTGAACCCTTGCCTCCAAGTTCAACATCCTGTCAACTGATTTAAAAAGCAATGTATAGCTCAGAATATCACAATTTACAATTTACTGCAATTCTTCCATGTTACTCACAACAAAAGCGCTTGTTTCCCCAACCCAAAAATCTTCATAACTTTGAATTTTTTTAGCTGGTCCCTTGAAATTTGACTCAGAGGACTTATAGTGAGGTTTTACTGCACCATATTTGGACAATTTGACTTTGGGACACTTAGCCCATGGATGGCATTTTTCCTTTCCATTGCACGGCAGAGTTTGGATTTTGGAGGGGGGGGGTTCAGATTTCATTTTGACCCAAGGTCACTGAAATGTTCTCAGAGGTTGAAGAGGCCTAAGTTGGAAAAAATCCAGCAGGAGGACAATTTTATATTGCTTTCAGGAATCTCCCATGCAAATCCTATGCCAGTAATGCAAGGAAAAAATTCCATCCCGTGAGGAATTTTTTACATTTTTTATTTCAAATTTTTGGCAGGACTATAAAAATATCAGACTTTTCCTAACTTAGGCCTTGGTAAAAAAAAGTATGATTTTTTAAAATTGCCAGTGCTCAGTGGCACAAAATTTTGCAAAAATATCCCAACTTTGCTGCACAAGGGTTAGTAACCCAAAAAAATATGCCCCAACATCCAGACAATGTTGTCGTGGGTCGACTAGATGTCGCCATAGTCTCATGGACCACAGTCATCACTTTAGATACGTACAAATTTTATTTCTCAAAAAGTTGAAACCTCTTGAACAACTTGAGCTTTTTTTTTAATCTTCCCTTGAAAATCGACTTGAAAATAAATTCGCCTGTATTCTTTAAAAGTTCTCACCCGGGCTGCCAGAGACGTAGTGGGCTTCTCCAGAAGGTCCCAGAGGAATTTCTGATAATGCGCGCATTTCCCTTCGCCAAACTCCTCCTCGTCCCTCTGCCTCAACGACTCCATCTCCTTCCGCATTTCCTCGTGCAAATGCTCTTTCCTCTGGTGGTACTTGTGCTGGCAACACGACTCAATGTACAACTCGTCAATGTCCCAAAACTCCAGGTCGTCGCTAAAGGCCAACACGCACATTTCTTCCACAATGTGCAACTTGCCGGACCGGTAGAAATTCAGTATGGAGGAAAAAGAGCGCGGGTGGCGGTCAAAGAAGAACTCGTTGTCGGCGATGGAGTAGTCGTCGCAGATTTCCATGATGGCCTCGTGACTGCCGCAACACTTCCTGAGGCGCCCGAGTCGAGTGTTGGGCAGCCGCTCCAAGGTACGCCACAGCACTTCGTGCTTCACACCGCCCACGTTGATGACGACGCGTTTCCCGGCCGACATCCTTTTACTCATCAGCGGCGGCGGCGACTTATTTATGATGGGAATGGCCATTTCGTTCATGAGATCGTCGTCGTCGTCGTCGTCATTATTGTCGGCGGCGGCGGCGGCGGCGGCGGCGGAAGATGAGTTGAGAATGTCGGACGCGTTGTCTTCGCTCGTCGTCGTCGTCGTCATCATCATCACGTTTTCGTTGTCCTTGTTGTTGTTGTTGTTGTTGTTGTTGCTGTTGCTGTTTCCGGTGTTGGGGTCCATTAACGTGGTGCTGATGAACGAGGTTTGATGTTGATGCAGGACGCCGATGGCGGCGGCGGCGGCGGCGGCTGTCACACGACCGACGCCGGGTTTGGGGAAGGGACGCTTCTTCTGGCGGCGAACGTTCTGATGATGATGATGATGATGATGAGGGAGAGTTTCGCCGAAACCCACCGACCTCGTTTCCCAATCGTCCGTCACAGGTTCCTTATCGACACAAAAGAAGAAAAAAAACAATATTTGAAAAACGTTCTTTGAAAAAGATTTTAAAAAAAATCCACCTTCGTTTTTCAAAGACGAATTTGAGGAAATTGAAAATACTCAACAGCTGATGTTGGAACATGTTAAATTGACTGAAGTGCCCCCTAACCTAAAAGATGAAACTGATACAGGGTGTCTTGAGTTAAAAACAAAAAGTTTTGACAAGAACTCCTGCATCCATATTCAAAAGTATGGAGGCCAAACTACAAATTTTTATCATATTTTCTGCAGCCCAAAAATATTCATCTCATAGAAAAAGGCTGCGTCTTCAACTGTTTGCATTGATTAATTCAGAAATTTCTCCAATGCAGTATTTGATTTCATCTTTGATTGCTGGTGAGCGGTGAATCATTTCATGAAATATATATACAGTGAGACCCCCACATATGCGGACACCTTGAAATGTGGACAATTCAACATAAGGACACTTATTTCCCCATGAAAAATTAATAAAAAAGGCCTAACATGAGGACACTGACTCAACATAGGGACATTTTGTGATAAATTTGCAAATAAGTTTCAGGCCAAATTACAGAAAGACCCCCACATGCGGACATGCCAACCTGTGGACAATTCAACATAGGGACACTTATTTTCCCTGAAAAAATTAACACAAAAGGCCTGACATGAGGACACTGACTCAACATAGGGACATTTTGCAATAAAATTCCAAATACGTTTCAGGCCAAATTACAAGAAACAGATATTTCCAACCCAAAAATTGATGTGAGAAAAGTTCTTGGGCATTTCTCTCACCAATTTTCCATCCATTTAGCTAATTAAAAAAAATTACCTCCAACATAGAGGGACTTCTACATTTTTTTTCCTCTTGAATGTTATTTTTGTGTATACCAACATTTCAATGTACAGTACAGAGATACATTATTCAATTCTCCAAATGTTTTTATAGAGTTGAATATGTATTCATTAATTCAAGTGGCAAATAATTTTTTATGCTGAGTATTTTGTCCATAAAATGGCAATTAAAAATTATGTAATGTAAGTCTAAAGGAAAATGAGGCTTGACTTAAGGACATTTCAACTTAGGGACACTCTTGATGCACCAATTATGTCCACATCATGGGGTCTCACTGTTAATGAAATTTTTGAAGCAAGGAAAACCGTGTTAAACACTAACACAAGGAGCATCAATAAAACGCTTCATACCTATCCACTCAACAAAAAAAACAGGTTGTCCATTTCATAAATAGCAACCTTGACCAATGAATTATGTCCCTCAACTAAATTCTATAGGCCATATCCAAACTCTGGGACAGATGAAATAATTCCAGAATTCTTGAGCATAACATCCCATACAAGCAATGTACAGGGTAGACAAAAAAGTGAACTGATTTTGAATTACAATATCTTATTGCTGGTAGCAAATTGAGATGAAATTATGAAGAATAAGAAAAAAAACAAAGTGAAAGCTTGTTCAATTTCTGATGCCCAGCCACACTAGACTATAGAGCATCAAACATTTTGAAAATTGTAAAAACTTGACAGTCAGGATCATATATGTTATTCTATATATAGCTTTACCATATGTTGGTCACAATTATGCTTATTTTACACATGAGCATTTCAGTGTATTCCTTAAAGTGCTCACCTTTTCTTGCGACCGGGACGATGAGCTCTCTTGGTTCGGCTCCCTCTCGTCATTGTCGCCATTGCGGCCTATTATGAGCCATGATTTACCAGGCTCATCTCCGGCAGCAGACGACATAACATGTCATACAGGACATTCCTCTGGCGTTGTTCATTGAAATACACGCACTTCAACCCGATCTTCTTCATCACATTTACCCATTTTAGGAGCCCTTTAAACGGAGTATATTCCATGCAAATTTAATTACAAACGTGGATATATATAAGATATGCCATGAATGATAAGATTCTCACATATACGCCACAAGTACGATCTCATATACACAGAGAAGTGCACCAAAGGACATGTATAAATAATTTATAATAAATTTGTAAAACATTTTCAAAACTTATTAATACAAACCTTTTTTTAGAAAAAATAGCTCTGAAGCATAATTAATGCATATAATGAATAATTGGTGCATAAACAAACATTTCAAGAACAATTCAAAAAGTAAGTGCACCATATATTAAAATAACTCTTACATTCACAGGTAGACATTGCATCAGTATTCAATAAGAACGCGTAAAATAATCTTTTTGTCAACATTTAAGGACCTCAAGAAAAAATAAGTCTTTTATGTGGTGCTGCAATTTTTTTTAAATAATTTCAGATGCACAAAAATATAACTTAGAATATTTTTTTCTTTAAATTAGAGGTTGATGAAATGACAATAAATTTTCTCTGGGGACAGAAAAGTTTGACCAGCAGAATTAAAGCACTATATTCACTTTTTGCTGTTTTGGGAACCATATAAAAGAGCTCATATTTTCAAAAATCAATAAGAAGTTGTGAAATCTTGTCACACTACATTTTGCTATATAGATTTAGTAATACAGTACTGTAAAACACATTTCTTCTCATGCAAAAGAAAATCATATCAAGCTTATTGTTCTTAGTTTGACATTACAAGGTTTCCTTCAGAAATATTTGCATTTAAAATTGATTCACAATTTGGTCCATGAGCCATTGACCAAAAATAATTCTCCAATACTGCACTATTGTGAAGCATGCAAAAGTCATGCCTCATGACTCATGAGGGATGGTTTCAAAAATGTTCTCAGTACCTTAAAATAAAGATGGCTACTGTATTCAAATGCCCCAATTTTATGAGCAATAATCCATCAAACTATTGTGGCATCAATAATAAAATGCAAGGCAACCCTCATTATCATGAGCACATCTTTTTCATTTTCCCTTCCAGCCTCGAATATGACAATGGAAATGTTTTTCTTTTCCATTATCATTTTAGGAAAGTTCTCATTAAGTATATCACAAACAGTAATAATCAACTATGACAATGCGTAAAAAAACTTGTACATTATACCGTACAATATTTGTTCTCACTATAAGAACTAACCAATGATCACAAGGGATATTTTACATCTTGCTTCATAAACACAGTGATTGCTATACATACAACGCTGTTTCATTTAACTAAATATAAGCCCAAATGAGCTTGTTATTATTGTTACAGGATTTTGGATCAGTATACAGTAATGATGAATTGATATACACTGATTTCAAGAAAAAAAGCCAAGTTCTACACAATATATTGATAAGAACTCCTGCGACCATATATTTCATAGCATTGAGGCTAACTACCAAGTTTTGTCGGATTGTCTAATGCAGCCCAAAAATATTCACTTCTTAGAGAGAGAAACCCTAGGTCTAGACAACAGTATAGGGGCACTTGCTCTCATATGGAATTTCGAAGAACTCCGTTGCAAAAAAAATCGGAAAATCTTTTTACACACATGGAACCACAAAACGCGAAAATCACATAAGTACGATGCGAACATCACTCGTTGTGGTGCATTCATCCTTCGCTCCTTGCCCTTCACAGCGCACTGACCGCGCACAAGTCCGCGAGCCGGGCGCCGAAGATACACATAAGCCAGCGCGAAAGTTCACCAGCGGAGCACCATCACAGTTGTATTTTTACCTTCATTATATACAGCCTGCATACACATAATACACACACAAATGTATACAAAGAAGGCCTCATGGGTCATGGCAACTCGCAATCCCGCGACCAGCACAGTCGAAACACAAGTGCACAAGCTACTGCTTGCTGGATGGATGGATGAGCGCGACTACCGCGGTGCTGGCAGCGCGAAACTGGTTCGATCACCAGCTAGCAAACCGTCATATGCACCCGGGTTCCTCATTATATACACAACCTGCGCATGGTTCCGACAAAAACCAGCCCCGTGTCAGCTGAAGGAAGCCTCATCAGATCCTTTAAAAATTTAGCTTCAACGCGGGCGAGTGAACATGGGACCGGCCGGAATCGATCGGAACTGGTCCTCATTTATGAAGCTTCAATATCACCGATGTACACACACAGTAGAATCCTTCTACAACGAACTCAATAATAGAACCTTCGAAGAACTGTGCTGCCTTGAAATTTCTAAAAATCTTTGCACATGAAACAGGGGCGTAATCATATTCTGAGTTTACCCCATCACAATTTACAGTACGGTGCCTTGCCTAATTAAGACGTAATTTGTTCCAGCACAATTTTCGCTCATCATGCCCTTTTTTTTCTTGTATGAAATATTCAGAAGACCATTTTGTCCAAGATGGATGACATGAAACAAACAGGAAAACTACTCAACATTTTAGAAATAAAAAAAAATTTCCTGAATACCGAGAGAATCAAAAGATGAACTTTCTCCGACCTTCCTTTAATCTTCTGTCACGCTCTGTTAAATTAAAAGTTGCAGATGAACAATAAATGTATTCGAAAGACGAACAAAGAATTAATTCGAAAGACGAACAAAGAATTAATTCGAAAGAATAACTCATGTGTCGAAATATTTCAAGGAATGGAAGTCATTATTTCGAGCCCATAAGATATGTATTTGCAAGACATACACGAGAAGTACGAAAGGATCAAAACTGCGCGTTCTATATGGAAGCGAAGCCGCTCGTTCTGAGCTTGAAATTGAAAGACTGAAGACACATCACACGAAGAAATCCAACGCGTTCCATTCACAACTTTTTTTCAACCAGATGAGATCCCGGAAAAATAATCTATTTGAAAAAGGGCTAGTAGTGTCAAAACGATTGACTACAACTTCGCCACGGAAATGCATCCTTGACACTCGGTGGACCCCGCGCGTTATGGAACGCAGCGGAGCGCTTTTCCAGTCGGAGCTGGGACCTGTACATGTTCGGAACATCACTGTATTACTTCATTACACTCGACGACAATTCAATAATCGATCGCTGACCTGAGTTTTCTGCGCATTATTTCGGTTCATTCGGCCAGGTCAGGCTTGAGGCTATGACCGCGGTCAACGACGAAGACGACGGTTAATGAATAAAGCATCGGAATCGGAATTCTCTCCGACGACTGAAGCGAATCCACTTGAGTATTCACGACGCACGAACGCGAACACGGTAGCAAAGCCACTTATCCTAATTAAAAGTGGGATTCCAGCACCGATTCGATTATCCGCACCAGTGGAATATATATACTGTATATACATTCCTTGACCAATATAGAGCTTACATATACAGAGAATGCACGGTGCAGAGAAAGAAGGATCTCTTGCGGGAAGAACCGTATATATAGCTGCATTTGTGTAATGGGTCAAGGGTAATTAATTTCTGCACGTACGATATACACATAAAAAGAAATTCTTCAAACTACACTTCTTTGACGTCTGCACGTAAAAGTCCACGAGGTGAACTTCATTTCAGGCCACAAAAGTATCCATCACTCACATTTCGGAGTTAATTCTGGGGCGAAAGCATGACTCAGTTCGGAACAGTACAAAAGCTCCCGTGCAAAAATCCCTCAGCGAAAATTACCGCGTCGAGTTTTTTTTTTTAATTCATCCAATGAGATTTCTGATTATTCTGGATGGTACACGCGCCATTAAAAAAATTGATTAAAATGAAACTTTAAAACATAATCAACAGTGCAATGGCATTAATGAAATTTCATTTTGGCTGCTGACGTGCATCTTGCATGCCTTCAGTATATACAGCAGTAGTGCAGTACTGTACTTCGCGCAGTGCTTTTGCATTCCCTCTGTAACCGGGGCTTCTTATTTATTATGCACAAAGTAGCTGTATATCCTGCGACTTATTGTTCATTTGCATGAACTCCACTTCCTCAAATGCGCTATAGAAATGCGGCTGTATACTGTATGGCTGTACATATAAACGAAAGCCAAGGAAAAGTTGCAACAAAAATGTTATCCCATTGTATGGGTCAATCGCCCAGCAAGTTCAGAGTCTTCCCTTAGATTCTATTTTTGGTCATCAGGAATGTTCGTAAATACGTACTGTAATGTATATATAGTGGGTAAGCATCTTGTTTTGTGGCTATTTGTGGCGCGCTTTATTCCCGACAGCAACTCTCTCCCGAAAAGAGGATGTTTTCTAATTCTGGGTGGCATTTTAGTGAGACTTTTGTTTCTCTCACGCACAATATTCCATTGGTCCCTCATGTCAGGAACTCAGAATCATGCTTAGTAACATTATTCAACAGAATTTTCCAATACATGAATCGTACCTTCATTTTAACTCACTATCATCACACAGACAACCTAAATCAGCTGCCTTCACAACACACAGCAGTTCAGTTACGGCATTGCTGTATACAGTATACTGTATATGCCAGGCTGTATAGAACATGCAGGTGCTGGTACCGCGTATGAATACAGTAAGATGTGTCACTATTGGGCTTTGCTGATGGTGATGGTACACTAAATAATATACAGTGGTGTGAACGTGTGATGTACGTGCAGTTCAGTTGAAAACTGGAAATATACGTTTTAAATTTTAAAATTGTGTGGAGGGTGAAAATTATTTGCGAAGTTGACAAGTTGTCTTATTCCTGGTGAGTTGAAACCACACCTAGAATACACAGAAGATGGGACGAGAAACTGTCATGAGCTGAATATTCTAAAAGTACTTCATGATGGAGAAAGGTTTTGACTAAAGCCCTATTGCGTAATGTACTGCATAACTTGTTGGGGAGCTGCTATAGCAGCTGGTGCTTATCTGAAGCAAGCGACATCTGCCGCACAGGATAATACATTTAATGTTTGATCAAGTTACCCCTACCGATAGTGTGCGGAAAATTACGAAGTCCAGGTGAACCCGACTGCGTGGTGGCTATCAGTGGAGATGGACATGTTGCGGAAATTCCACGTAAAAGCCTGACCGTGACCGTTAGATCGTAGTGCGTGCTTTCTTGGGACAAGTGTTCGGTATCGCACTTGTTGAAGAACTGCCGACTTCAACTCGTCAGTCCCTGACCTATGAGGTGTTTATGCCGCCCTGTGTGCAAAACGTGATCAATGACGGAAGAAATGGAGTTCTAGGCCTTGTTGACCCACTTCTAATTCATCGCGAGAACATCGTGTGTAATGTGTTCTGAGTGAGTTCGCTGACGAGAACGGAACAGAGAGGCAACGTCGTGCGAAACCTTCAACGATTACTGTCATGGCTATAGTGAAACGTACGAGACTCTGATCGCATATGCCGTTGGGTTCCCAAGCTGAACTTCATACCGCCGCGTACGAAATTCCGGGTTTAACGCAACTTATTCCCTTAATCGCGGAAGAACGTGTTATTTTGCTAAATTTTTCTGTGTTCCTCGTGAACTGTTTGACCGTAGATTTTAAATCGTGCCGCTGCCCTTCAGTGCGAGACTACCTCGCCTTTATTTACTTGCCCTTGGCTGTATTGGAATTTGAGCCTTTCGCCGATTCCATTTGGTAAGTTTGAGTGAGAGATGCTTCTTTCTAGAGTTTCATACTGAAATTTTTTCTTCAGACGTCCAGAGAACGTGTTGTATGAGTCAGAAAGCAGAGAAACCGACGCTATCTGGTCAGCGTATTAAGACCCGAAAAAGAGATGAAAAGGAGAAGTACGATCCCATCGGATTCAGGGATCAACTGTTGCTCGGACTTCAGGAAAACGATATAGAGCAGATTAGCAAGTTTCTGGATCAGGCAGGTGGCAAGCTTGATTATCGACGCTACGGCGAAACTCTTTTTGATATCCTCATCGCTGGCGGCATTTTAGGTACGGATGTTCTAAATTTTCATGGTCATTTACGTTATTTTGAAGTCGCGAAGATTTTTGTTTGTGCCTTGATCGGATAGTTGCCATTTCGTCATTTTATCGCCTACTAAGTGCGTTCGTAGAAGTACCGTGAATAGATAAATCTGTCTCGCTAAGATGTAATGAAGATTCAACGAATCTAAGCCGCGTAGGACATGTTGCTGAGGCATGATTCGGTTATACCGAAGAAACTCTTGAAAATGTTCCATTCATTGCTTTCAGAGAAACACAAGAGATACAGCAAATTTATCGGTGATTGGTGTCATTCTGTCAAAAGGGTTTTTGTTGAGTGTAGTTTTGATTTCCGTGTCTTCTCCGCAGCCCCCGGCGGGAGCCTAGTTCAAGATGCAGACGCAAACAAGCCTGTATCGACGAAAATCTGCCTATTCCATCAGAATGAGGACACGGACTCGATCCGGTCATTTGCACAGGTGTTCGTTAAGTTGATGCGACGCTACAAGTATCTCGAGAAGATGTTTGAAGAGGAGATGAAAAAAATCCTCGTTTTCCTGAAAGGATTCGAGGATGCTCAACGACACCGACTTGCCAAGGCTACTGCTTTCTGGCTGGCCAGCTCGACTCTCCCTCCCACGTGTCTCATAAACTTGCTGCAGGTTTGTTTGATGATGGCTTTTGCGGGATAAATGTTATCTGTCTGTATTTCCTTTGTGCTACTGGGGGTGTGTTCATCCGAGCAGCAGGTAAAGCTCGGGCGCATCCGCAACGCGCGATTTTGAGTGGCCAAATGTTGATCTCTTGCGTGTTAACGTCCACAGGAGCACCTGGTGAAAGATGGAATTGCTTTGGAATTCTTGCTTGAAGTCGTTTGCACTTGGAAGCAAGAGAAAGATATAACCAGCTTGAAAAACGCGCTGAAGAAGGCTGGAATTGACAACAGGTGAGTTAAATTCAGGCGGACTCTCCAGGGACCCGAAAACATTCGTTGTTGGGAGTACAGCTGTAATACCTCTTACGTAATGCTTCTGGAATTTTGTAAAGGGGCTAGATTGCATTGTGGTAAAGACACCGGCATAATTGCGTTCTAATGCAACGGTAGTAATACTTTTGCTAAGCGACCGCTTAATAACTTGGTAAAAAATTATTGACACGTCACTATCCGAACTGTACGAAGTCAAGAACGTAATAATTGCTTTTAGAGAAATTATTTTTTATGTTGGAATTAGTTGAACCTGCTTTACTCGAACCTCCCGAATTCGAATTCTCTTTCCAAGTCCCTGACCAAATTCTTTTCATAACTACGCATCGAAAACCTCCTTAACTCCCTAAGTTTTTCCCTTTCAAACCTCCATATCTCGAATTTTATGGAGCCCTTTTGGCCATTATTTTATTGACACAGGAAAGAGAAAATAATTAAAATAGTAAATTCATGTGTTGAGAAAGTTGATGACAAATAGGCAAATGAATCCTTGCCTCGAAGTTCTGCGTCATGTCTACTTATTCATGATACAATTTAAGCCTCAGAATATCACCAATTACAATTTTCTGTTTTTCGTATTCTTTTCCCCCGAGAAAATGCTTGTTTCCCTTACTCGAATTTTATTTTTGCTGGCCTGGAAGAAGTTTGACTTATTTATTGACGTTTTTACGCATTTCAAGGCTGATGGAATTCTTCCCACCCAATAAACGGAGCACGGACTATTTCAAGAGCGTGTTCGAAGAAAAGGGACTCTTGGAAATCGTCGCGTTCCATAATTTGCAAGCCCACACTGAGACCAAGAAACTGATGCAAAAGGAATTGGACAGGATGATTAAGGATGAGGAAGCTCCGAAGCAACTCACTACCTACATCAAGGACACGATGGGCAAGTGCAACTTGGAAGACAAGGACGTTGTGACGATTCTCTGGAATGCCGTGATGGGGAGTGTGGAATGGAACAAAAAGGAGGAACTTGTTGCTGAGCAGGCTTTCAAGCACCTCAAGCACTATGCGCCAATGTTTGCCGACTTTACGGGGAACAACGCGAAGGCAGAACTCGCGTTGCTCATCAAGATTCAAGAATATTGCTACGATAACATGAGTTTCATGAAGACGTTCCATAAAATCGTGCTGCTCTTGTACAAGACGGATGTTTTGAGCGAAAATGTTATTTTGCACTGGTATCGAGAGGCTCATTCGCCGAAAGGGAAGAGTGTGTTTCTCGAGCAGACCAAGCGACTCGTTGAATGGCTTCAAAATGCCGAAGAAGGTTCGTGCTTTTTCGTTGTCGATTTTATTTTCATTTTTTCCAAGGCTCTCAAAAATTGTCGTGAAATTTATTTTTGATTCTGAAAAGCTTCCGAGTTCGTGATTTCTACCACGTTTCCTGGACAATAGGATGTAGCATAATGTTCGGGATTTGCAATTGGCCCCCTTAGTCGAGTAAAATTATTCCTTCTTCTTTGACCATGATTATTTGTATATTAGATCTCAAATCTACGAGGAAGTCAATTTTATGCCTATTCCGTAGTTGCCGTGACTTCCAGTTGTTCAAATGTACAGATAGAAAATTAATGTGTACGCAGAATTTAAGGTCTTTGTGCTGATGTACAAATATTTTGCTTAGATGATCATGTTCAAATTTTGTTTCAAGCCGTTCAGAAAAGTCGTAGATAACATTCCTGAATACAGTTTTAATTGGTAAGATTGTGTCCGACGACGAAACGTGCGTTTTATTATTGCAGAAATGCGAAATGTAGACCGTCGAGGTGAACTTAATTAATCGAATTCCGGTTTTCAAGTTCTTGAAAATTTTGTAGTTGCTCAAAAATACCTCTGACTTCAAGAAAAAATCTGCAACGTACACCCTAATCTTGGTTTATTTCGAGTCGACAAATACTGAGATAAGAAATAAACTTTTGCTAAGCAGTATTAATAGTCTGTAGGGGAGCTGTTCAAACGATTTACGGTAGTGTAATACAGTATTAAATTTTCATTAGGTAGCCTCTTTTGGGTTGAAACAATGTACATTAGTTGATGATTTCGAACTTCTAAGTGAAGTGTTCGAGAAATATTGTCGTGCTGTAGCTGTGAGTAGAGAAGTTCGTGAATATTTTGAACCATTTTTTCTGCTTGTTGAGCTCTTTGTTCCATCAGAGTAACCTTAGTTGAATTAATCCGAAGTTAATCTTCTGCCTGGCTATTTTGTAGTATGCCGCCTTCATGGGCGAACATTTGTTTTACTTCGTTTCTCCGAACTTATTTCGTATTGCGTTGTGTTATTTAATTTTTTACGTACCGTAAATGGTTCTTCGGGGCATATGTTCAGGAATTCATCAGTGGATATTTGTACTGTATTCTAACATTTTTGCTGTCTAATTAGCAATTAAAGTTCGCGTCATTTCCTCTTATTCCCCTCTAGAATCTGAGGACGAAGAGGATGATGATGAGTAATGGAACCCTGAGAGACAAGGTCCTTCTTCAATGCAGACTGCCGGCTTACAAGTTCCCCTCAATGCGTTCGCGGGCGCCATTCGGGTTTTAATTGACGCATATACGTTCCCTCGATTTTTTTTTCTTTTTCCGTCTGTGTTATCACCGGATATTCTTGATCTTTAAAGAAAAGAAAAAACAAAAACGAAAGAAGTCTTACCAACTAACGGCTTAAGGTGTTTCTTTTGATCTTCTCTCGCGGCGGCGGGTCCGTTTCGGAAAATGAAAAAAAAAAGAACTATATGAAATAACGCTTCTTTTCTTTTCCTCACAAATTCCAACATTCATTCAAACACTTTTCAGGATTTGCAAACGAACATCCATATCTTCCACTTCGGTTCCGCTCACGGATATCACCTTGTGGATGTTTTCTAGATCTTGAACAGCTTTGAGGTTGTCTAGATTCTGCCACCAGTGCTGAAGAAACTTNCGAGTAAAATTATTCCTTCTTCTTTGACCATGATTATTTGTATATTAGATCTCAAATCTACGAGGAAGTCAATTTTATGCCTATTCCGTAGTTGCCGTGACTTCCAGTTGTTCAAATGTACAGATAGTAAATTAATGTGTACGCAGAATTTAAGTTCTTAGAGCTGATGTGAAAATATTTTGCTTTGATTATCATGTTTGAATTTTTTTCAAGCTGTTGAGAAAAGTCGTAGATAACATTTCTGAATACAGTTTTAATTGGTAAGATTGAGTCCGATGTTCGACGACGAAACGTGCGTTTTATTATTGCAGACATGCAACATGTAGACCGTCGAGGTGAATTTAATTAATCGAATTCCGGTTTTCAAGTTCTTGAAAATTTTGTAGTTGCTCTAAAATACCTCTGACTTCAAGAAAAAATCTGCAACGTACACTCTAATCTTGGATTATTTTTAGTCGAAAAATACTGAGATAAGAAATGAACTTGACTAACCAGTATTAATAGTCTGTAGGGGAGCTGATCAAACAATTTACGGTAGTGTAATACAGTATTAAATTTTTATTAGGTAGCCTCCTCTTTTTGGGGGGGGGGGAAACAATGTACAGTAGTTGATGATTTCGAACTTCTAAGTAAATTTTTCAAGAAATGTTGTGCTTTAGGTGTGGGGAAGTTCGTGAATATTTTGTACGATTTTTTCTGCTTGTTGAGCTCATTTCATCAGAGTAACCTTAGTTGAATTAATCTGAAGTTAATCTTCTGTCTAGCTATTTTGTAGTATGCAACCTTCATGGGCGAACATTTATTTTACTTTGTTTCTCCGGACTTATTTCGAATTGCGTTGTGTCATTTTCATTTTTTAGGTACCGTGAATGGTTGTTGCCCTTCGGGGGTTTTTCGGGCGTATGTTCAGGAATTCATCAGTGGATATTTGTATTCTTAACATTTTTGCTGTCCAATTCGCTATTGCTATTAAAGTTTGCGTCATTCCCTCTTTCCCTCTTATTCCCCTCTAGAATCCGAGGACGAAGAGGATGATGATGAGTAATGGAACCCTGAGAGACAAGGTCCTTCTTCAATGCAGACTGCCGGATTACAAGTTCCCCTCAATGCGTTCGCGGGCGCCATTCGGGTTTTAATTGACGCATATACGTTCCCTCGATTTTTTTTCTTTTTCCGTCTGTGTTATCACCCGATATTCTTGATCTTTAAAGAAAAGAAAAAACAAAAACGAAAGAAGTCTTACCAACTAACGGCTTAAGGTGTTTCTTTTGATCTTCTCTCGCGGCGGCGGGTCCGTTTCGGAAAATGAAAAAAAAAAGAACTATACGAAATAACGCTTCTTTTCTTTTCCTCACAAATTCCAACATTCATTCAAACACTTTTCAGGATTTGCAAACGAACATCCAAATCTTCCACTTCGGTTCCGCTCACGGATATCACCTTGTGGATGTTTTCTAGATCTTGAACAGCTTTGAGGTTGTCTAGATTCTGCCACCAGTGCTGAAGAAACTTTGCAGCGACGATTTGGAACCAGGGGGTTAGTGGTATACCTCTGGATGCGCACTTGGCCAGGAATTCCTGGAAATTCTCACGCGGGATCCATTTGAAGTCCTGAACCTCGTTGGGGTTGAGTAATAATTTAACGTCTTTCCTGGCGAACAGGACGTAGTCGATTTCGTGTTCCCCCCAAACGTCGGTGGAAGGAGCCTTGTAGAGTACTCTTGTCACCACCGTGAGGTCTTGCGGGTCGAGTTGGATACCCAACTCATATTCGCACCTGCACGTGAATCGTTCATACATTAATGTGAAATTAAAGTCGTACACATACATGATGAGCTTTTTCGCAGAATGAGCTCGAAATTGCCCTTCTTTCCGTTAGGTATAATGAATCGAGTTAGGAATAATAAAAAAGTAGACGCCATCAAAAAAGATGATTAGTGGCAAAAGCTACTGATACGTTCATTTATTATATTTTATGAAGAGGTTCCTTAACATGGACGAGCATTTCTGAAAAGTCAGGCCCTCATTTCTATAGAAAGGTTCTAACAAAAGTTCTTGGAATATAAATTAAAATGGCAAATCATTCAGCTGAAAAAAATTATTCATCAGGGAAAACATATTCTTTAGCGCAGCTGTCACATTGGCGGCTGTTGATGAAAATGGCGGAATTAACTTGGAAGACCTTGGAGTTGATGCCAGTTAGATTTCGAGAATTCTGAGGGCTACGACAAAATCTGCAGGAAGGATGCCTCATCTTTCGAGTGGAGAGCAAAACTCTACCAGGGTGAATTTTGCAAAACATTAAAAAAAAATTGGTCTAACAGGGCTGATTTTTTTCTTGTGCCAAAGAATATGTTCTCCCTAAAAAAAATAATTTTTCCCCAGCTCAATTATATGCCATTTTAATTTCTATTCTGAGAACTTTTGTAAGAACCCTCATATACTCAACAACTAATGGTGAAGATGTGTTTAAGAATTTATGAAAGCCATTTTCACCTGAATGGATTCATGATCCTGTCATGAGTGTTATCAATATGCAGTAATTTAATTTAATTTAAGCAATTTAATTTAATTATTGGATAGGTAAGTATCCACAAAAGGGATGAAGTGAAATAACTATCGCATCGCAAAATTTGTAAGAAAATAAAATTCTACCTTCTCACAGCAGCTCGACGAACTCCAATGAAGTCCTTCTCCTGTAGTTCCTCTTGTGTGTCCAGTGGATGACTACAACAGGTGTTGGAGTAAAATCCCGGGAACGTGATCTTGAGGAAAAACACAGACCAGTTGCATTTTTGTCTAAGAGGCCTATTCATGGAGGAGTAATAATGGCAATGATCTTTTCGAGAAGAAGCTCATTCAAGCTTACTGGAAAGTCTAACACAGCTACAGTAATTCCACTACGTTGACATTTTTGACAAACTGTAAGGTAATTTGCAAAGAATCACAAGGATCTTGCTTTCTTAAATATCCCCACATTTTCGAACGGGATTCATTATTACAATGACATATTAGCTATGAAGGCTTACTATAATTATTTCTTACCATTCAAAATCTCACGTAATACCATGTAATTAAGAAAGAAGTTTCAAATACGTCATTAGCACAGAAAAGTCGTTAGTTTCTGCACTTCATTCGTAACTTACAGAATTTTCTACATATTTCTGTCATAAAAGGAAAAATTTAGATAGGAAGACGTAAATCGTATGTTCGAATGAATACTGCATTGTAAAACTTCCTGTTCAGACGCAATCCCATGAAGGAAGAGATAAGAAGTGTAATTCACCTCATAAGCTTTAAAGATAAGGATTCAAGTTGGTAAACATTCACAGTACAGTACTTTATGCAGATGGAATCGAAATTCAACCTGTGTTCGTTTAGGAACTTCGCAAAATTCGTTATACAGAGTCCCGAAAAATCATGTAAAATCAAGATATCCTGAAGAATAACTGTTAAATTTGTGTTACATATCAGTCCGGGATAGTCAAATCCGAAATTTCACCGTTAAAGTAGAAAAGTTTTCCTGAGTGTCAGCTTGTGATAAAACAAAAACAATTTGATCACTGAAATCCATTTTGTTCTGTAGGGCCACGAATTTAAAGGAGCAGTGACAGCATAAGTTAAAAAAAATGAAAACAAAAAATTTCAATGGCTTTTTTTCCTTTTGTTAAATTGACATAAAATATATGGAATTTACAGATAATACATTCTTGAGACAACAAAAAATTTAACTGAACAATTTTTTACACATTGATAGAATCTCAACTGGGTTGAAATTACTCCCTGATTTCCTCAATTTTTTCACTTGAAAGTCAGAAATGAGGATTCAAAATTTCTGCATGTGTGCATTTTTCAAGTTCTCCCGAGTCGTATTCATTCCAACATAAAAAATTGTAAGAACATGATGCAATGACCTCTTCAAATGCTTAACCATATTCATAAAATCTGAATCCTAAGCAGGAAAATGCTGAAGGCGTTCTCAAGAAAACAACGCAAATATAGCAGAGGTCAGAGAATTTTCCGAACATTCAAAAATGGTTCTACTACGTGAGACTTGTAGTAACAGTCGCCACAGAATAATATTTAACATAGAATGTCATTTTAGGTCAAGGATGAATATGAGTTCCAAAACTTGGTGACCTGCAAAACTGGCATACAGGAGCGACACCTCAACTTCAACGCTGCAACTGATCACGCGAGAAGTCCCATATCACAATTGAAGGACCGATTGAATATACTTTATTACGGTACATAATTTCGTACTGTAATACAGTATTGTATTCAACTTCAATTCCCAATTGAAAATCTTCGCATTTCTCTGTTTGAACTGCGATTTATATGCATAATCATAGGATAAATATGGGTGTGGGAAACGGAAAATCTATAATAAAATGACTCGACCTTTTCTGTCTCTCATTTACATTATGCAATAACTGGTACACGGGCAAGGTCTGATTTATGTTGCGTGTGGATCAGATATGAAACAATTTGATCAGTTTATTCATTTAGATGATTAGATTGTACAGCTGAACCTCAGTACCTACCCAAGTCAAATTTATTTTCAAGTCCTTGTCTGAATTCCCTCATAGGACCAATGCATTAAAAAACATCTCCAACTCTAAGGCATTTCCTCTCAAACCTCTAGAACTCAAATTTTTCAAGGCCTTTTGGTTATTATTTTCGTGACACACCAGGAATGAGAAAATGGATAAAAATGTAACTTGATGTGTTTTTAAAGGAACTGGAAGATTAATTGGGCAAAGAAAACCTTGCTTCCAAGTTCAGCATCCTGTCAACTCATTCAAGAGGCAATTTAAGGACCAGAATATCACAATTTCCCACACCAAAAAAATATTGTTTCCCAAACTCAAAGTTTTTTTACTGCTCCCTTGAAATTCAACTTAGGGAGGTTCGAATGTGAAATATTTTAAAATTTTTGAACGCATTCCGCGCAGATGTGAGAAACGCCAGTGGCTTCTTCTCATGGCGCCTCAACCACCACCACCACACCTTGGTCATGGCCCGCTGCTGGACCAGCATCTCGCCCTTCCCATTGAAGAGGAACACTGAGAAGGCGCGGTGCAGGGGACACGACCCGTTTTGCCACAAATGGCAGTCTCGCTTGGTCGCCGATCCAGTCACAGCATCTCGCTCTGTGACCAGCAAACACCGTTCTTCCAACAATGCCCGTTGGCAGGGATTCAGCTTGGACTCGTCCAGCTCAGGTTGGGTGTTGAACGGGAACCGGAACAAGCGGCGCAAGAAGGAAGCGCTCGTCAGCAGGCGCGGAGTCGGAAACATTTCTTCTTCCGTCGGTTTTTCTTCTCTCCCCTGCTGCACCACACACCCCGTCCACTTCCTGTGAATGAAATCGCGACCGGAAGCTTGAAGATGAGTGCAGTACTGGACGGAATTTCCGAACCAAGGGGAGTTATCAAGCAGCGACCTCTACCGGCAAGCAGCGCATTTTCGGCGGTTACAGAGAAGTTCGCAAGTGCACACATTTTTCAAGATCACGGGAACAAACAGTAGGCGAACTTGAATTTTACTGCAGGCAACTTTTCTTCAAGAGACAATCTTTGGGAATAAATAAATCTGACCCAACTTCAAGAAAAATTGAATTACTGTTCGTAGACCAATTTTTTCCCTGAAATTAACAACCAAAAATGGAGACCATTCTACGTTCGGTTTAATGAGGTACAATCTCCCAAGCAGCAAAATTTTTGTGATTTTCGAAAAGTAAACCCAACTCATATGCGTGAAATTCAAGATGCATATTACAGTATCATGATTTCCACACATACCGTTGATAAAAAAATTCCGAATGGAATTTGATAAAAATCTTCTTAAATCACAAAGACCCAGCTTAATGCTTTCAGATTGAAAAGTTGCTGCACGCTTTACAGAACATAATTAAATGAACTAAATTAAGTGCTCATCATGCACTTATTTCGAAATATACATATGATTATGCACTTACATTATTTCTTACTCGGAATTTGTCAGGCATAATTGGCTTGAGATCTTGACTTTAATCGCATTCGAGAATGGTTCTCTTTCTTCATTACATTCCAGTGAACAAGAGTTTAAACCCCACTCGCTCTTCGTCATTAATTCCCGAAGATTGCCAATTTAAACAGAATCAATCACCAGACAAGCATGAGACGCTGTTAATTTGGTAGGTCAGTACATGGAAGGAGCTGATTCTTGAGACAAGCAATCCTGCGATTACGTCTCGCATCGGGAAAGAAACTTTCATGCCCTCAACGAATTACTTCATACGAAATCAATAAAAAGCTGATCATTACATAGTGAATACCAACATTAACCGTTTCCCGCAACAAATACGAAAAATTAAGAGTGATCTTCTCGCCAGCTCTAGATCATTCCTAGAGGAAAATTCACGAAATTCGGGATCATCCCCAGACGAATGGCTAATAAACTCTTGAAAAAGCCCCATATCTCTCCGTAAAATCTGAAGAACTCTACGTGCACCGATTCAGAAAACATGCGTCTAGAAATTTTTAGCAGTGCAACGTCAACGTTCCGCAAATCACATCAAATCCGAAAATCTGCTCGCCGGGAAAAGTCGCCCCCGTGGTAGCACCTCCAGACTTACAAAATACCACAAAAAAAGAAGAAAAATCACGACCAAGTCACTGCGCCAACAACCGACGAGGTTTTCTTCCACCACTTCACAAAAAAACTCGGAAACGGCGAGAGAGAACGCTGAACGGAAGCCCTTTCGCGACAAGATTGAAAATTGGGAATGATCACGTTTTACTCCCTGACGCGCCACTCCCCCGCCCAAAAAAAAAAACAAAAGATGAACCGAAAAAAAAAAATCTACACGACCCATATAAACGTATGACAAACGAAAAAAAAAAAGAAAACCAAGTTCGGGAAGGTTCACAAAGCAGCAAGCAACAATCATATCACATCGCTACCCTCGTCAACGTGGGGCACGCATCAGCTCGAAAAAAAAAATTCATGAGACTCCCTGAGATCCCCACCAAACGCCAACTTGTCTTGAACATCTCGTCGATCTCACTTCTTCATCACAACACGTGCTTTCGCAGCTTTAAAAATTTTTTCTCCTCTTCGCAACAGAAAAAAAACACAACCCGTGTCATAGAACGGAACTTCCCAATCCCAAGCCCGAAGTTGCATTCGCAAACGCTACGTTGGTATGTACGCTTCAAACCTCGCCTCTCTCATTTCAACACCTAGAATATTTCCAACAATATTCTACCGTCTCCAATGGATCATTACTCTTATGCTTCACCCCAGGTTTCGAAATTTGCGATCGTAAAAAAAAAAAAGATGTCGCCTCCATTTCCAATCCAAAAAAAAAACCAAGCTTGTTCAAATTTGGTCAACGTATTGAAAATAAAAGAAGATTCAAAAACAGTATTAAAATTATCGTTTTTTGAACATTTTCCCTCGAAGTCACTTCCGCAAGCTAGTTGATACAGCAATTTATCTAACCAAAATTCAATTTGAGCAACATCTATGCGATTAGAACTTAAAATCTCGGAAACTGAGAAATACGAGGGTGAAATAGAGTTCTTTTTTTCCCCCTGCGGGTACATACGTCGAGTAATATAGAACTAGCGACCTTGCGATCATTTCTCGTTGGAATACCCGCTCATTTTGTTGACGATGCAACCAGGGACTGGAAAAACAAAAGAACCGAAAAACAAACGCGTGAGATGCGGGAACCGAAGTCACCGCAAAATAAATCGTATGTTTTACGGGAGTTCAACAGAAGTTGGCGTTTCCATCAGCATCTGCTCCAGGCAGCGTTCACATCGAAGTTTTACAGTGCGACATAATAGTCTTACGTAAAAGAAGGAGAAAGGAAAACACTGTGCAAGTAGAAAAAAAAAGTAATAAACCGCCGGCAATGCCTGCTCAATATCACAGCGGCGAAGTCCTTGTTAGGGCCTTGCAAATGAAATTCATGGACCCGGATTGCATACACTGCATCCGACACCGTTTCGGGTCGATCTCGGGCGGTGGGAATGAATGCGAGCGTCATCTAGGCGACCTTTCGGACACCAGCTGGTGCAACGCGGTTGAGACGCTCGGTTTCGCGGGCTCTCCATAATCCGTCGACGGAGAAAATAGTCTAACTTGAGCTCCAGCAGTTAATTCGTCCTCGTCGCTCGATGAAGGATACGCTTCCGCGCAGGGATCGTAAAATGAATCCGCAATATCCAAGTTTGCAAACTCATCGCTGTCATCGAGGTTCGCCAACTCACTGGACGACGCTTCCGCGAGAACTTGGGTCACCACACGACGACGACCCGATTTAGGTACCGAAAGGCGTCGCCGATCACTGGTTTCAGCCTCTTCGACGGTTTCTTGATACGCAACCCGGTCCCGCAAAACCCACTCCTGGGTTTCCTCCTCGTGGGAATCCGATTGGCGGCTAGAGGAAGCTTCACTACTTTCACCCGCATTTTTCGATAACGCCCTAAAAGAAACAAAGAAAAATAATGGAATGAAAACCCCTCACGAGTTACGATACCAGTTCTACAAGAGTCGAACGCCCGGAATTTGCACCATGATCTAATTTTTCTGCATCAACAATATTTCTAAATTTACCGAAAATTCGCACTGAACCCCACGATAACTTGAAAAATACATGCAAAAATCTTTTTTTAAACAGAAAACAAATTTTCCTCAATTAAACCCCAGTAAGTTCCGAACATAATCTCCTTTACATAGACATAAACATACTGAAGTACTTATTGAAAGTACAGTGGTTCAAGTTACAATAAAAAGTACCGTCTGAGGGCTTAAATTAGCACTTTTATCCAATTAGCGTAAATATGTGTCTACATGGAGAAATTTTCCCGCTCGCTACCCACAAGACAATCAAGCACTTCTTTTTCCAATTTCTCGGAGTTGAAGTTAAAAATACTGTAATAAGAAATCGTCAGCTTATAGCTCTTCAAAATGCATGTCAGTGGCTGAAGGGGAAGAGCAAGGGTTGTGTGACACTTTCCTTTTCTGGGGAAAACCAAAATTTAGCCGAAAATTAATGGTTCCTGGAAAGCCAGAAGACCACGAAAGTGAGTGCGTGCTTATACTCGCCCATTAATGAAATTTTACATTTTTGCATGAAATATCTAGGGGGAGCTTATATTCACGTAATACGGGGGTTTCGCTTTTTTCAGTGCCAACGCTTCCACTGCACACTAAATTTTTGAACACCCTACACACCCGTGCAGGGCACGTACAATTCTACAATACGTATCAATAAAATTGCGATTATTTTCAGGCATACAATAGCGTCATTCCGGGAATTTGAATTGAATAAACATTATCCATATCAGAAATGCTGCGTCGTATAGAAGAATAATTTTATTTCAGGATCCATCTTGCATTTCATGCTTGGAGTATGGTACGTACAGTACTAGCTTGAAGAGAGGCTCCGACTTGGTGCTTCAAAAACGATATGCAGTACAGTAATTCGTAATAAGTTGCTGATTATTAAATAGAAGATTTTTTTCAGTCCATTCCCCCATGATACAATGCTCAAGAAATAATAAGTCATTTCAAATTATGTTCCATTTTTTCGGGCCTCCTGCGAGGCATAACGCACTGCCATGCGTGGGTACGGAAGGAAACAATCGACTCACCTTTCCCCACGTTCGGGCAACAATCTCGAGCTAGTAGGATGCAAGATCTGCGAGTAACGGGAAATGAGGGATGCCAGATCCAGACGACACAAATCCGTGTCGAACGGTGAAGAGAACGGTTCTTGAACAACGGCTGGTTCGGCTGAAAATTTTCTCTTGGCGGGTCTGACATAGCGGCAATTCTGGATACCCCGGAACACGAAAACATCCTCGTAGGACTCCGGCTCGGACTCCACAGGTGCAGCGACAACTTTCGCCTTCTGAGGTTTCGGCACGGATTCCACTCGCCTCATAGGCACTTGCTTCCGGGACGCAGCACGCTTCTGAGGTTTCATGTCTAGCACTTCCCTAAGGATTTTCCCACCCCAATCCTGAAGCTGATACCGCTTCTCGATGATTTCGACGGTGAGGTTGAGGTACTCGCGTTTGAGCTTCTCGCGCCTCTTCACCATTTCTAGCAGGGTGAGCGCCTTCATCAGGTCCCGTCTCAGCTTCACCATTCTCTCGTAGGCGTATTCATCATTTTTCCGGTTCTTTCTAGTTTGCATCTTCTCGGTTCGCTTTCTGAACGCGACATAGGGATTATTCGGAGCAGACCCAAGGGGCACGGATGTCAGGACGATTGGATAGATAGAAGGGGGAACGAGGGGAGCGCCGGATTTGTCGGTCATCCCAAACATTGAGGTAGCCTGATATCAAAATAGACGATGTTTTCAAGCCACAGCGATTGGCTAGAATCCAAAACATACCAGTCGTGAACGTTTCTCCGTCCAATAATTGTAAACCGCTACAATGAGATCATCATCATGATTGAGCAACATTCTGGCTTCCTTCAGAGTACATGGCGACTGACCGCTCCCCTTCTCAAGGCGATCTATCATCTCTTCGAACTTAGGACACACGAAAAAAAGGGAAACCATGAAAACTATCCACCAAAAATTAGAGCCTCTGATGAACTCACTGTGAGTTCGGTAAAATCTTCAAAGGTATGGTCTGTGGTTTTGAGTTCCTTGAACCACCGCTCATCGTCCGAATCCAGATCATAATCCGGCTTGGCGGGTTCCAGAGAGAACGCTACAGATCGTAAAGTTTTTCATTCACGCATCGAAATCGGTCTCAAATATTAAGACAACATACGTGGAACGCGGATGTAGTCCTTCGGAATCTTCGATTCTCTTGAGTATATTGAAGCATACTCAACAGGGCACTCAAGTACATCTGGTATAGGAATGTCGCTGTCTTCATCAGCATTTTCTCCGTATTTCTGTCGCGCTGAGATTGCTCGAAGGAGATGGTGTTCCTACAAACGTAAATGGGACTCATGTACAGTACACGGTATACCGGTGAGAGTTGAACGGACCGGCACGGATACAATGCATCGTTTTCGAGGAACGCTCGGTGGAATCGCATCGAAGTAAACGAAATTTGCGCACCCGAAACATCATGTCAAGAGTCTGGGCTTATTGTGTAAAGTACTTGACACGTTCACGTCTATGCATATGGGGAGGGAAGCAGGGAGGGTGTCGATGACGGCGTTAGTAGAACTTACGCATTCCTCGTTCTTTTCCATGCCCGTCGGCATGGGCGGCACGGCGCGGTTGATGGCCGCGTCGACCAGGTCTGGAATCTCGTCGACATGGTAGATCGGCAACGGTTTGGCGGCGTCCGGAGCACGGGCGCGGAACGCGAGCTTGTTGGCCATAGGGCGCACGGGAGCGGCCCAGGCCAACAACTCGGATTCCGGACGAGGTTCTCGACGCAGACGGCCGAAACTCGGCGTCGTCGACGAGGCGACTCCTCCCAGACGCTTTCCAACGCTTCACATGACGGCAGAAACGCGGGAAAATTTAAAATCATTGAAAAAGTTCAGCATTTCACTTCTCCGTTCAACTTCATACACTCCGCGAATATGGCGGACTCCTTCGACATCCAACCGCCTCTAGCGCCCCCTAACCACATGAACCCGATGGGTAGCTTTCATCGAGGTCGCCATCCCATCCGCAAGCGCGGGGAAAATTTAGGAATCGTCCCCTAACGTGTTTTCAGAAATTCGAGTGACATCTACAACTTTGCTTAGTAATAACGACGTGGTGTACTTTTTAACTTAGAAGAGATGCCTATTCTTTCATAAAATAATTTGTGCGTTCTGCATAAACGAGCTGATGTTCTGCAAAATATTTTCCATTCTTTATGTGTAGAGTGTGCAATTGAATACAGGATTAGGAAATTTCATAAAAATAATATGAACCCAAGGCGATGCTCTCGAAAATCTCTGTGCAAGTATTTAATTTTTAAAAGAATTTCTACGAACAGTATCTCGTACCACTGGGTAGCTAAGTGAAACTAGGAGGGGCATATGTTGTGTTTCAGCGATATTTTCATACCACATCATGTGAATGTTGGACGAATGAATTCTAGAGATTTATTCTTTTAAATTCTTTTTTTTTAACTAGAAGAGAAAATTGATCAGCTATCATTCAGCTCATCCATTGCTGCATAAACTCCAAACTGGAGTTCGAATGTCATGCGTCAGCTCTTCAGACTTTTTTTTGTGTTATGACATATCAGCTCGAAGAAAATATACAATATTGCCTTTTGAAAAGTGGATTCATTTGGTGCATTTCTTCCAAAACATATTCAGTAACTTGCGCGTATTTCTATCACAACGATGCAACAAATCATCAAGCTGAAGCCCACAATTTTTTTCTTTTGAGATCAAGAGCAGAGAAATTCATGTTTCATTCAAAAGGAAAGTACTGTCCATCATTTGATGAAATCCAGCGTAATACTATGTATTTAAAAAATTGCATGCGTCAAACATGGATTCCTTGAAAATGAAAGTACACCAAACATGGATAATTTCAAATTATCACCATGCCAGATGACTATGAAAAAAATCTCAACATGAACTGTACAATATTAGGCAAATTCATTTGTTAATTTGAGGCGGGTGTTTCTGATATGGGGTTTGGAGTAATAATGCCTTAGTGAGTTTTGTATGTACACCATGATGAGATATATCCAGATTTTTCTTGAAACCTATCTCCACAAGATTCACAGCACTTTTCCATAGATGTAACTTGACTTTGATTGCCAGCATCCTCATTTTCTTTGGCTCTTGGTGAAAGCCACCAGCTGATCAAGTGTTCAAACAATTCCAAGAAGGATACACCACACAGGCCTAAATACAGTCCAGTTGCACCACCCAGGCTGCTGAGGAATCCCCAAATCTGCAAATTTTAAATTATACAATAAATTCTGTCTACATTTTCAAACAAAGAATACAGTGAGCCCCAACATGGGGACAATTCAACATGGGGACAATTCAACATGGGGACATTTATTTTTTAACAAAAAAAAGACCCAACATGAGGACACTGACTCAACCTGGGGACACTGCAGGATAAACTAACTAAATAAATTTTAGAAAAATTGATTTTCATAAGGCTTAATTGCAAGAAACAGATGCTTCCAACCTAAGATCAATGCAAGAAAAATTCTTTGGTACTTTTCCCATTATTTTCCCATCCATTCATCTAATTTTAAAAATGCCCTATAGCACAGAGGGACTTCCTTCTAGCTCTCTTTGTGACATGGACGTTATTTTTCCAGATGCAAACTTTTCAATTTACTGTACAGAGGTACACTATTCAATGTTCCAAATGTTCTAATTGGTTTGAAAAGATATTCATTGAATCAAATTAAAGTGGCAAAAATTTTTTTCATGAAATTCTGAAGAATATATCTTCCATAAAACACCAATTAAAAATTATACAATGTAAGTCTATGGGAAAACAAGATTCGACTTGGGGACAATCCGACATAGGGACACTCTTGATGCACCAATTATGTCCACATCTGGGGGTCTCACTGTACATTTCTTGCACAGCTTGTGGACAAAACTCACATCATATTTTTGCACTTCTTGGATTCGTTCCAAATTCAATGTCTTGAAGTACACATTGATCCTCAAAAACTCTGTTTGGGCAATTTTCTGCTCCTCCAGATCATCAAGGTCATCATTTTTTTCAACTTTGTACTCATCCATATACGATTTGACCATTGAAGACTGCGAAAATAGCATGCATTTAGTAGAAAGATTCATTTGCAGGATTCCTGGAAAATAAAATTTACCGCATACTGAGTTGTTGGCCAATGAGCAGCAGAAAGCTGGGTGTGGTACACAAATGTCCTGATTTAAGAATAATGTGCTCATTAAAAAACAAACATTTGCACTAATAATTTCATGCAAAATGGTTAATTACCTGCAAGGTAGGCTGCAATCGCATGTCAAATCATTGTTCTGCATTAATGATCTCACTTTCCTCACACAAGCATAATCTGCATCATCTGCAAATACAGTATTTCATGATGATAGCATGAACATATTTTAAAATTTGTGCATCTGTATACTTATGTATCTGCAAATTCTTTCAGTGCAGCCAATTTTGGAGCCATTCCTCAGCATGAATTTATGGAAAATGTGGGGGTCCATGCAATTGCATGTTTCCAAGATTTTCAAGGCCTCACACATTCTCTGGCAACTCTGGAATCAGAAAGGTTTTTTTCAAATGATTCATTGTGTAAAACATCCTTTTAGTCTTTCTATAATATAGGTGTTGAAGAACTCACTGTGTATGAATAAGTGCTGTTTACCACATTGGGGTCTTTCAATGCATATTCCTGATTAATTTTTCTGAATGGTGTCTGAGTCCAATCAGATACACAATGTGACTGATATGGACTTGGCATCCTGGTCACCTCCACCTGAAGAGGAAACCATGATTTTACTTACCCCATCAAGATAAAAACTGCAAATGTTTTTCAAAATTTACTGTTTGAATTGCTATATCATTTTCATTGCCAGTTTTCAAGCTGAATCCTTGATCACCAGGGTTAGGATTTAAGAAGGCTTCATGAAGAACTACTCTCACGCCTTCTCCTTCAGGAATGGAAGTTGGACTGTAATCATTTTTGCTGATAAACAGGTCCATTGTCAATCCTATAAAGGACATGACAGATATGAAAGTTAACTGCATTCCCTCAGTAAATTTCAGTTGATCCCTGCACAACAGACCTCCCAAACAACAGATTTTTGCACAACAGACTGCCTCCAGAGGATATTCCTCCTTCCCCAAAAAAATGGACTAAATCTGCCAAACAGACTTTTGTTAGTTTAAAATTAATGGTAAAAAGTATAAATTATAATTTTTAATACTTGAATTTTCATAACAAACTTTTCACATAACAGACTTGTCTGTTGCACAAATTAATGAGTCCATTGTGCAGGGATTGACTGTATAGTACCATTCATTCTTCCTGCAATAGCTGCTGTCCTTTTTCCTGCATCTGGATCCTTCTTGTAATTGAATCCACTGTTGAAAGTGAAGCACTTCCCATATTGTGGATTCAACTCTGCTCTAAAATAACTAAATGAAAAGGCCTTTCCATTTGATCAATTTCCAAATCTTCTTTGATTGAATGAGTCACCTTTCTTGATGGCAATCCATCCCATCATATGTACAAGCCTTCACAAAATCTTCAAACTTCATCCCAGCATCAACATTATGGATGAGGTTGGATCCATTCCTATACAGTTCAACCAAAAGTCTGAGAAATTCTTCAGATCTCAAGTGTTCTTGCATTTTTTCTCCCAAAGCCTGGCCCTTGAGACAATATGAGGAGTTGATGGATGATATGGAGGTGTCATTAAACAGGACATCTTTCATTATTTCTCTCATAAGGATGTCTGCACCGGTTTGATTCATTTCCAACATTGCCAGACTCCTGTGAATGAAGATTATAAATTCATTATAGAAACACTTTTTATATCAACTTGTTTTTTTTACTCAAGGAATGAATGGAGATTCAGTGTAGCAAAATTCTTGAGGTCTGCTTCAGAGATTGAAGAATTGAAAGAGGTGATCCACTTGATGAAAATCGATTTGGCTCTGTTGTCAAACTGCTTGTAGCCTGATGTATTGTTTATCACCTCCACAAGAAAACACAGTAGTGAAACAATTTATTCCAGGCAGAAATATTTTTCTCTAAAAACCTTGGCAGCAAGTGGCTTTTTGGTGATTGCTTCATAGCACTCAGTGGCAATTAAAATGTCCTTGAAGGTTACAGGCTGTTTGATGAAGGCTGTAGCCAGATTTGTACATGGAAGTGGATTCAAATTACAAACCGTGACTGCTGGAAATGGCAGACTTCTTTCATAAGACACAGTTACCTTAATAATAATGAAATACAGTACAGAATTAAAAGGGAAAAAATGCAATTCAAGCTTTTTTTTTAATTTACCTGCGTCAGCACTGGGTAGTTGTAATAGTCCATGAAAACCGTGTAAGAATTGTACATTGTCAAGCATCCAAAAATGAGCAATATGAATATCCATGCAGCCTTCTGGAAATTATTTCTTGATGCTTGGAAGTGAGATATTCCAGGTATTGTGGAATGATATCTTTTCTTCCCATGCTTTTCACCCTTTTCCATCATGCTTTGTGGTTCTTAAAAATCCATAAAAAAAATTGTACAACTATTATCCATCAGCTGACACATCACCTGAATGAAATTCACATATACATAATGATGGGTACAAAAGAAAAGAAAAAAAAACAAGAACAAACATGGTTTTATGTCCTTGTTTTCTTGCTGGAATTGAATCAAGAATCTCAACTGTGGAAAGTCTGTGGAAAGTCTGTGCAACAGCCAAAAGCACAATGTAGGAACAATCTTTTTGGACTGACGCAAAAATGGTCAGTTTATAAGCAGCTGTGGCTTTGGAATATTGAGGTCAGTGGACCACACCCTGGACAACCACAGCAGGGAGAAGTCAATTCTAGGTTTAATTGCTTCATATTTACCTCTGAACGTATATACTGCTGGACATCAATTATTGGCACAACTGTAATGAGCTAGCAGTCAAAGATGAAAAATGCTCTGAAACGGTTGTGAAGTGAGATGTCTGGCTGTATACGATTATGCAGGGTATTATTGTTACATTAATTAAGAAATTAGGTCAAGGTGATTCAAGACAGGCTTCCTCAAAAATCATGGAGCCCCATGATTACATAGGATTCGGATTATTGGTGTTCAATTAGGTTCTATGTTCCTAGCCTCTCTTTCAAGAAATGAAATAAGCAACACAACTGGTTAGAAATTCACGGTAAATTTACAAGCAGCATATATTTTCCGCACTCAATCATGAATTAGGTATCAACAGCATTTAACCCGCATACTCAACTCAAAACACAAGTAATTATTGGGACTTTTTGTACCTATTCTTTAATTTATCATATCTATAGTGTTGGGATGTGGGGAATTTCGCGCTACGCAAGAATGCACTTTTTATACTTGTTCGCTCAAATGTATGCTATTTATAGTTTTATTTGCTGTGTATATATGCCCTTAATAATAGGCTACAGTCTTTAAAGCCATATTCAGATACAGAAAGATACTGCAGCTTCAATGCTGTACTTGAGTGGATATGACGGTTAGGTTTTTTTATTAATGCTTTTGTTTCAAGTGAAAAATGGGTTCTTTCATAATGCACAGAAGAATGAATCACAATGCTTATGCTGATCCCTTGAATACAGGTACTGTATCTGAATAAAATGGAAACTCATTTCACGAAACCCACATATACAAGTGAGGTTGAATAGACAGTGCTGTCCAAACAGCCCACTTAGTTTGAAGCTTGAACTGAAGCTTACCGTCCTGGCAACTTCCCTTGCGTCGCAACGCGGGTGAAGTTTCGCATGCGAATTGGAATGAGACCTATGTAGTGGGACCTGAGCTTTTTTAAGAAGACATTGTTAATCTAAACGTTGTAGTAGTGCGATATTGCGCTGGGTTGTGGATTTTACTTTCATTTGCATCTTCTATAGAATTTGTACTGTTTCATACACCAGTTTCAGTTACTGAGCGTGATCGACCGGTGCGCTGGATTCAGGCTATATAGCAAGATTCGTAGAAAACGGCATGCAAAATGCGATGTGATCTCTTTTACAAGCTGTCCCGCGATAATTTTGAGAAGAATGCTTCATTTTGGGGGGCAGACTTCTGCGCCGTATGACGTCGCTAATTCTGTTGATTTAGTAACGGCCGCTGCCAGCCATTGTTTCCCGCGCGACACGTTCGCGACTTCTATGTGTTTTTACGTTTTGAACAGTAGGCCAATGACAGGCCCTCGGCCAAGCCAGGCTGGCGCGCTTCCGGCGGCCATCTTGCGTGACTGTTGAGTAAGGGGTCTTGCTCAGCCCCAGCTGTCACTCAGTGCCTGACTTTTGAAGAGTGCAGATCTTCATGTATATATTCTGTGTTTGCGACCAAGGGTATTGAATTGTTTGTGATCTTTTACTTGTGTGAACTTATTATTCCTCAGAGTGTTTACCAGTACTCTCTTGAGTGTATCAATTGAGTCAAATCTGACTGTTTTAAAGGTGATTTTTCTGCAAAATTCTCTTGAATCGTATGACTAATTTGATTCTCGTTTCTCTCTGTTTCCCCTTGACGTAAAGTTTTGGGGCTCAATTCCATCCGCTACCGGTAACGATCAATACAAATTAAGTGTAGCACTCCTGAAAAAGTAGGTATGCGATGCAATTGAGTCATTCATGTTCGCTTGAGCATCTGTCAAAATACGGCAGTAGTTAGGTCGGATGGCATGTTTTGTGTTACTCGTGTTTGACTTTTGATATTTAGAATAATTGGTTCACTCTTGTCACTATCTCATCATGACGATGATGCGTGGGTAGTTAGTCACGAAGGTTGTTCACATGATTTAAAAATACTGCAGTTTTTTGGCGACATCAGCACTTCTGGGAGTCGGTCGCACTATAAATACTATACAAAAGCATCAATTTTGTTTCTGCAATTATGTCAGGTAGTTTTTTTAGACGCACTTACGCTCCACCACCGGGTGAACGATATTTCGTTACAGTCAAATAAAAGCTCTCCACGTGTTCCTCAAGTCAGTGCGTTTTTTTTTTTTTCATTGATTTCTCGCGATGTCGAGCTATAGAGTATAGATGATCAAATTTTGTTTTATTTCGTATTGTATATGCTGTGCATTCCTTCTTCCTTGGCTATACCTTGTACGGTGAAAAGAGATGCGTATGTTGAACGTGCACCTTGATTCTGTCTTTTCAGGCATTCCTCGGAATGGAGAGAAGTTTTCGATACACCAAGTTCATTCTCGAGGATACTGTGTACGATGAAGAAAGTGCTATGCGTTTCTTACAAGACAATGCTGTGCTGCCGAAAGAAATCATCTGCTCGAATCTCAAGCAGCACAGTGACAGAAAAGCTAAGCGGATGATGATGAAAATTGGCGGAAGAATAAGAAGTACTGGCTGGACTTGTGAAATTGAAACGTGTCGTAGATTCCGGTGTATTACTAGCAAAACGTGGCCCTTCGATTCATTACTTTCTTTTGAATCGATCGTCCACCTCATTCAGTTGTGGAGTTCGGGAGAATTAACCGTTGAATGGTGCGACGATCAGTATGGCATATCAAAGAATACAACCGAGTCTTTCGCCGAAAAAATGCGGGGGATCTGCACATGGAAAGTTCAGAGAATGACTGAACGCCTTGGAGGAGATGGACTGGCAGTGGAAGTTGATGAATCCTTCCTTTTAGAAGCTAAGAAAAATGCTCAAAACCGCGAGAAATGCCATAGTGTTCGCATCCTGAACCCTGACGACCAGGAAGACGTCCTTGGTGTCATCATGAGGCATGTTGAGCTCGAACCAGACTGTCCTTTTATCTTTCAGCAAAGGGTTCTTTACCACAAACTTGTGCTACGTGGATCAATTCAAGACTCCGTGTACTCCATCAGTGTCGAAATGAAGTCTGCGAAAAAGCCCAAACGCTCATTAGAGGACAAGTTCCAGGATTATTATTATCAACGAATGGCCAAGTCTTACCTTGCCGAGTTTTTGTGGCGTCTCAGTGTTTCTGGAAGAGATCCTTTCTATGCTGTGATCGAGGATATGGCTGAGTTTGCCAGAACCGAGAGTCCGGAAATGGAAGAACATATCTTCTAAAGCGCATTTTTTGTTTTTGGTGAAAAATGAATTATGTTCGTTTCGGGTTTTCCTGCGTTTCATTTAATCAAGATGTGTTTTCCTCATTTTCATGTGTTGTATGCATTTCTAAGATGAATGATCTGACGAGAATTATGTGACGGAGAAGCTAGTGTTCCGAAAGTGTTTTACGTACAAGGAACTGCCTATAGTGGAGAAGCTGAAACTGCGGTAACAGGAAATACGAAGATTTTTGTAATTTACACGATATTGCCGATAGTTCATGAAAATGAAGTGGAAGAACCTCTAGTTCAAATTACCGTATACATTTATTTGTTTCTTTCCTATGAGCTTTCAATCCAGAAGAGCTTTGACGAATGTGATGAATATTTGCAAAAAGTGACGGAGAATGTCTTCCTGAAAAGTGCATTCTAAGCTTTTAAACATTTTGGCAAAAATTCGATTACCTGCTAATGAAAACGGTGGCATAGTTTTTGTAAAACGACTTTCACACTTGCGGTGAAAGTTAAATTGCTGAGTTATGCTGCATGTCTTTTTTTTTTGCTCAAATCATTGATAAGAAGTGAATTTCTGGCTTTGATTTGAAATTTGTTTTCAGGTGCAAGTGTTTGAGAGGGAAAATTTTTTCTGATGCAGTATTTTTTGTTTTTTCAAACAAAAGAAATCAAATCATTTTTCATGCTTCCTTTGAGTGTGATTTCTGTGTTATTTTTTATTTGAAAGAAATACATCTCCATTACAAGCTTTCTCTCTGAAAAATTATATATTAGTCCTGCCTCCTGTAGTGTCTTCATCCAAGTAAAAGGAAGTTGCTTGTTTTTATCTTCCAGCATGTCTTGAATGTACAGTCAAACCTCTCTGACACATATTTCAAGGGGCCTGCAAAAAATTTGATATAGGGAGATTTTGAATCATGCATGTGTGAACTACAATGCAAAGCACATTTCTCAGGGAAACTTAGAAAAAATGTAAAAGGTGATATCCTGGGCTTAAATGGCTTCTTAAATGAGTAGAAAGTCTGCTGAACTTGGAGGCAGGGGTTCATTTGCCCCATTATGTCTTTCACTTCCTTTAAAACACATGACCTTCTGTTTTTATTACTCTTTTCCTTTCTTGGGTCAAGAAAATAATGCCCAACAGGCCACAAAAAATTTGACTTTTTGAGATTTTTAATGTCTTGTTTTAAGGGGATTCAGATGAGGACCTGAAAAAAAATTGACCTAGGGAGGTTCAAGTTATCAAGGTTCACATGTAGTTTAATTAATATTTTAATTCAAATGTAATGGAAAACTAAGAGGAATAGCTTTTTATTTCACCTAATTATCATGAAAAATCTCAACATCTCTTTTGGAGAGTTCAATTCATGCCTGCATTATCCATAGACGAAAGTTCTTGTTTCTCAATTTGATCCTTTCTAATAGAGCAAGATTTAATGAACAGGACATAAGCTTGAACAATACATTTATGTTGTTGGAAGTACTGTAATACTGTATCAAAAGGAAACCATCTTGTAATTCTAGAAATAAAGAGAATCTTGGAAAAACTACTATAACTGTAATAATTATTGTTCATTGGTACTGACTTTGTTGTGGGCTCTTTGTCAAATGAAGTAGTTATAAAATTATATTTGTGACTCATATGAAATAGTGGAGCAGGCTTTTCCTATGCGTTGTTCTTTAGAATTTTGTGGGCTAAAACTTCAAAGAGATTCCTAGAATTTGTCAAGGAATACATTTTACTTGATAAGAAACTAATTCTGGTGGAACTAAAGAGCTCATTATCATGGTTCCCAAAAAGTATGCCTGAATCTAATTTTTCAAAGGGCTTAATGGAGAATTAATCCGTGTAAAATGTGAGCGCATCATGTGTTATCTCTAAACATTTGATTCGAATTTTAGTTTGAATATTATAATTTTTAGTATATTTATATTTTTATCATAATTGAATTTTAGTTTGAATATTATAAATACGCGCACTATACTGATTGAAAACGAAAGAATGGAAGAATGAGCAGTATGAATCACAAAGGATCCTTCACTTTTCAATTGGAATTCACATAAGGCGTTTTGTTTTGGTGCGGTACTGTGCATTGAATTGCTGGCCGGTTGCGTCTCGCCGCCGCAGTTGGCAGCCCTGCTCCAAGGCCGCCTCTGTTGAATGTGTCTACCCTGTCCTTATATACACTACACGGTCACCCGGAAAAATCATGAACCAGTTACCAAACAGCAAACATTGAAATACTGTACATTATTTAAAATTCTGTGAAGCGCAATTTTGGCTGAAGATAAATCTCAATCCTCCTTTTTCTGAATTTTTTTTTGCATATTGTCTTCCATGCATGTTTGTTTCTCCGGGGTACGACACTCCAAAAATGTTTGTCCCTGGAATGTTGATGTTGAATGTGAACCGTTAAATACCGAGTTGGGAAACTTTGAAATGAAGAATGCAGTTGCACAGGCGCCATGAAACTTTAATTCATGGCAGCCGTGGCCTATTGATATACATTACTGTACAGTACAGTACAGCTGCGTACATAACAACGAGTTTCAAGGAAAGAAAAGCCGAATATTACAAGCATAATTCCTTGATGCATAAATTAAAAAAAAAGTATGTGAAATGAATCTGGGCAATCCCTTATCCATGTCTCGAAATTTTTCAATACTAAACCCTGTATACAGGCCACCAGCCGGCAGTGCCCCGCCCCATGCACCCTCTCAACACGCCCGCGAGTGTATCCTTCCCTCGCGGACTATCCGTGAGAGCGCCGAGCAAAGCATCATGCGTAAGACTTGAACTGAGCCAACCCCAGTTCCAACGCATCCGTCTAGGCCGTGGAAGCCGGAGATCCACCGGAAGAAAGACTGTGGAGTGATGATCATAAGAAGTCGACAGTTCGAAGTCGGGTCAGAAATCAGAACACAGTAATTCTCAGAACTCCTGTTGTGATTATAGCAGGATGTGAAGCCGATCATTGCGGGTGATTGTCTATAGCTATACGTAAGAGTGTGTTGGTGCTGTGGATGAACCACAGAAGATACTCTTCTTTATATATACCGCGTATAGGCGCGCCCATGCGTTGACAAATATCCGGTATACATCGCAGTACAGATATTTATTCTTTTTTTCTTTACCAGGGATCAAGTGCGTAATATGAATCATCTTTGAAGGGCTCAGCCTAAATATAGATAATGTTATAAAAATGTGGTTTTTTTACAAATAATTTTTTTGTGCCACAAGTAAGCTTTTTCTCATCAGGCCCAACGCGATGTCTTTTATACACGGTATATAGCGAGATTGTACAGTACTGTGCAGAAGTATGAGGAGTTTACATGGATAGCGCGCGTGTATAAGCCTCATATTTACTGAACTGAATAATCATGAACTGATGTACATCTGTACAACACATCGATCATCAGCTATAGAAGAGCTGGGACATATAAAAACTTAATTCATATTTGCATAGTATGCATAAATACGCGTGTAAACGCTTTAGAAAAGCGCGTTGCCATGTTATTATCTCAAATTACATTACTGTGATACAGCAGTATTGTGTGAGAAGTGCGTCTGACGGGTTTTATAGTGAATACATTGCACTTATAGTGCTTTAAAGCATATGAGTGATTCATTGAGTACAGAATTGTACCGGGTATTTTGTGAATTTAGGTCATTCATCCAGCGAAGAAATTACATTTTATTTTTTAGGCCTCTGAATTGCGCGTACTGTAGCTTTTGCGCGTTCATTGTCGCTGCGAGGTTTACGAAATCATCACTAGATGTCACTGTTACCCTATTCGTTGTACAGTACCAATGTACTGCATGACGCGTCGCCCGCAAAATACATGAATAAGTTATAGAATCTAATTTTGAGTCAACTGTGAGTGAAATTTGATTAGCCAAGGGGAAAGTTCTCTATGTTCCAAGCACAGTCTTGTATTTTCAGAAATAAATTTTCTAAGATTCGTTTTATATTTTTACAGTCCGGTGATTTTTTTAGTGCAATGTGAACCCCTCATCTGATTCAGAAAAACGACACTAGACGGGTTCAGTAACAACCGACACAATCAAAAAGGTGACCTCTATATTTCTTTGATAAACAAACATTCATCTGATATTTAGGAAGCATGATGCAGGTCAATATAACAAATACTGTATGGGACAAATTTGTCAGTTGAGCAAAAATGCTTTCTTTCCAAAACGCCATAGACGTTATGGTAAATTATAATTGTTGCGTAAAGAAATGTCATGGTTGAATACACTACAACAGATTACTTTTGTCCCCCAATTTCCCTGTCAAAAAATAGGGGGCTGTTTAGAAATACAAGTTTCAGAAATTAGCAAAGTTTAAGCTAATTTTCTCAGGAATCTTATGGGACTTAGAGTTGATCTGGAGTTTTCACGGTTTTCTCTGAGCAATGTACTGTCCTTCAAGGACTATCTTGGGAAATCTCTGGAGGTCTGCATGGAAATTTTCTTCCATTTTTTTCATTTAAATACTCTTCTTGGTCAACTCTGACAACAGATGAACATTTGATCTTCAAAATCTGACCTGAGCAGACCTCCCAAGTGTCTACTGATCATTGAATTGCCGCTGTTGTGCAATCCAAATTTGACTGAGTGTTTTGTTTCCTAACAAATCTTCTCCAAAAATATTTGTGGTTTCATCAAGAAACTATACCAACATTAAACTAGGGTTTTTGTCCCAGCCATAGCCTGGCTGATTCAGTCATTTTATTTTAGAAATCCAAAGAAGGTCATCTCACTCTTTCTTGTTGGAATTTTATTTCTGACATTCCCTGAATTTTGTCTCATGCTTATGGTACTGTAATAAAAACAAAAGTCATTGGAGAAAATGGTTTACTGTACTTCTGCTGCCAGAAATGTGCAATTCTCCTGAAAAAAAGTCTTGCATTGAAAAAAAGTTTGCTGATTTATCTAGACTCAGATTTGAAACAAATCTATTATATCATAAAAAATGCCCATTTTTCATGATAATTTTTTTTTAGATTCAGTGAATTTCGTTTGTATTCGTGAGATATAACTTTTTTCTTTGTATAGGACTCGTTTGAAATGTCGGACGAAAATAGGACATCCATGGTCTATTATGGAAGTCTTGAAGTGCATTTACGCGATTGGGAAAATCTGCGAAAATCTCTGGACAGAGATATTGGCACAGAGCCGACATTTGAAGCAAAGGAAGGATCAAGCAAGATATCCGTCTCTTGCTTCCCTCAAATAATGCCGGGAATGGTTCCCAACATATCAGGAAGCCTGTGTATTCGAGAGGTGAATGCGACAATTTTCTTCCAGCGAATTAACAGTTTGCAGATCAGCACCATGCAAACCAGAGCCTGCTGGAAATTCAACTGTAGGAAACGCATCACTTTATTTTTCAGTGCGAAACAGTGTTGATAGGATCCTTCAAGAATCTTTCAATGCAGGGCATGGAGCTATTGAAAGAATGGGTCTTGAATCTCCTGAATCGTGAATACTGGATTTCACCTTGGTTCCAACATGCAAGGACACTATCTCAAGTTGATTATGATGATGAAAGTAGATCTGTTGTGAAAATTTCTGCAGAAGTTTCTGAGGAAATCCATCGTCAGCTGGAGGAATGTAACAATGCAGAACTGTTCCAAATGCTTCGTACATCCCCAGTAAAAGTACTCTGTGGCATTCTTTCAATGTCCCAGGAAAAAAGAAGCAATCTTCTTGAATGCAGGTGAGTCTAATTGTTGTTTGCAATAAAAATATGCACTTTTTCCAGCTACCATTTTGTGTAATTAACAATGAGGAATGTCTTTGTCCATACAAGTGTTGTCCCAGTGTTCCATGAAAGATAAAATTTTCATTTTTGTTGGAAGTACAGATATTTTAGAATTTTTCCTTTGATTTTTTATATTTCCATGTGCTTTTATTTCTTTCTTCAAATTTTCTCAAGTGTCTTGGAAATTTGAAAATTGATTGTTTGTTAATATTGTGAATTTTCTTTATGATAGGGATGAAGCCACTGGAAGAACACCATTCTTGGCTCTCTGTGCTCAGCCTAGTGACGATTTTTTAGACATTGCTGACCAACGATTCAAGTTCTTTTCTGATCTCGGAGCAGAAATTAAATGCAATAAGAAGTCTGCCATGATTGCCACCCTTTTACTCGATCCCAAAGTGAACGTGCTCCGCAAAGACAATCTTGAATACTCCTGTTTGCATCTGGTGCTTTACAATTCTTCGTCCGAGGAAGACGCTTGGCCAGTCGTTATTCTGTTGCTGGAGGCAATTGAACATTTCGCCGGAGGCAAAACGAATCAATACTTTGAAATCCTTCAACACACGCATATTTACGACGAAACAGCCGCAGACATCGCGATAGGAAAAAAGTACCACGGCATTTTCATGACTCTCGTTCTCGCTGGAGCCTTCGTGGCATTCAATCCAATTGTTGCCAGTGATGAAGAAGAATCAATAACCAAGAACAAGAACGATCGGATTCCGGTGATTATAAATTTAAAAAAGACAATTCTTACGGTTTCCATGAACGATTTTGATTCATTTTTCCAGGGTGCCAACGAAAGAGAAATCGACTCGAGAGAAGTTTTACTCTTTGCAACACATGTCTTGAAGGACGACTTTGATTGTGGATTCGTTTTCAAACATCTCGTTCTTCGGGTTCCTTTCGAACACTTGACAGCAGTCTCTGAAACGGGTCTCACAGCGATTGAACTTCTATCATGGAAGCAAGTATTCGACAGGAATCCAAATTCATTTGCAAAGACGGCAGGAGAAATATTATTTATCCCAGCGTCTGAGAACCGGCGAAAAATCGCTCAAGATGTTGTGAAAACCGCGATTGAGGTAAGTTTAACTTCGGATTTCCTACCGTTGAAGAAACTTATCTTGAGAATACAGTGCATTGTTTTCTTTTTCTTCCCACAGCGATTCAGTTCGAATAAGGGATTTTTATTCGAACTGGCGCAAAGAAGACGATGGAATGCATTGTTTCTAATCGGAGCCTTGTCATACGCAGGTGATTCAGAATTTCAAAAACTTCTCGAACATGAAGAAAGCATCAGAATATTCAGAAACCCGCATTTTCGCACGGAAACTGTTTGCGCTTGTCACTGCATTCGACTTCTAGTCCTGGTAACAGAAAAATACTTCCCAAAAATAATCATTCCAACAATGTTTCTGGTTTGTTTTCTTACAGTTCAGGCAGATTTATTACGCCGATCGGGTGCCAGAAAACATCCGGGACTTGATTTTCCCAGAAAGTCGATGGAAGGATGGGGTTTCATCCATTAACCACACGTGTTTGGACAAGATGACCATTGATATTCACCCTGAAGAAAATGACGAAAAAGTATAGAAAACATTTTATTTTCAAAAAGTGCCAGAAGTTCTTTGACGTCGAAAAGCTCTTATTGCAATTTTCAGATTTCATCGCTAGTCCGGAAATGGGAGGAACTTCGAAATTCAGGTGATTCAACCGAAAAATCGGAATTGATTGATGAAATTCACAGAATGTCGTCAGTCTTCCACTGCTTCGATGACATGAATGCGATGCATTTGAAAAATGCGGTGAGAAAATTTCCGTGAAAATTGTGTTATGACTATTAATTTGAAATCTGATTGCAGATGGAGATTGCGACTGAGAAAGAAATTCAATGTCTTCGGAAGAAATGGAACGTCATGACCTATAAAGTCAATCCTTTTCCAACTTCAACCGTGTGTTATATCTCCGAGAATATTTCTTCAATATCTCCCAGACTTGTGACTACTGTTTTGGCTCTCGGATGCAGAACTTTGGACAGAGAAGAGGAACTTACTCTTCCCCGGAATCCAAAATTGGCACAATTATTCCAAAAATGTCGGCTGTTGTGGGTAAGTGCTTTTCGCTCTTATATATCAACTGCAGATGAGAACTGATGTGTTATATGCAATTTTTAAAATGTAGGTAAGAATAAAACAGCAGTGAAGTCTATAGAAAATTTAGCAGAACATGCAAATATTTCAATGCATGAACGGAGTCTGAAAGGTAATAATAATATGCCTGTATCCTATGGGCCCCAATAGGAAAACTTGCCATACATTTAATTTTTTAAAAAGAATTTTACAGAATTGTAGAGATAGAAAAGTGTTAGCCCTCCACAATTTCTCTTTAAAGATTCTTTTCAAATTGATCAATTAATTGATGATTTCTTGGGAACTGTCTGCCAGGTGTTGTGCATTGTTGTCCAAAAAAGTGCCAATCAAAGAATTCTAGCATTTGTATATGTACTGTGATATTTGTTTTTATTTTCATTTTTGAATGGATGTATGTGGGAGGGGGATGTGGTAAAAGGTTTTGATCCTTGTGAACCATGAGAATAAGAGACAAATCAAGCATATTTATCTATCTATTGATCAGTTAAAAATTAATTCCAGAGCTAAACTGCAGGAATCTGAAAAATTGCATGTGGGCAAGACAATTGTTATCAGATGAGGTTTGTTTGTTCTCTATATATGCTGCATTTTTGATTTTTCAGTCACCCAAATGCCCAACATTGGCAGAACTTGCTTTCTCCAAGGACATGGTGCCATTACTCCACCTGCTCAGGATGGACTTGAAGGACATAAATGTCCTTTCTTGTCCATCAAGTCTAGCCACCATGTTTTTTGATGGCCTACTGGATATTAAAGGAGAAAATTGTTTTGAGATGCTGCATGAAGGCAAATCTGCATGGGATTGGGCTAATCACTATGGAATTAAACCAGTTATTTCTGCAATGCGTTTTATGCTGGTATGTTATTGTTTTCTTATAGACACTGTTTTCCATGATACAGTGTGGTCTTGGCTAACAGACACAAACCATTCCAATCCAGGGAAATGCTTGTTTGCTGGATTTGATTTCCAGGAACAGTATTGAAGCTTTTTTAAAAGGGAAATTTTGGTTACACAATATTCTCTGCCAGCTTGATTATAATTTTTACCCATGGTTTATAAGCTGGGTGAAAGCAAGGGTTTGCTATTAGCAGTATAATGGTTGTTGGGAGGAGTGTTTGCTAGCCAAGACCCCAAACACTGTAATGGGTGTTTCTGAAGTGGATTATAGTGGGAAACCAGATTAAAATTAAAAAGGAGATGCTCAGTTCAATGGGGTACTACAGCTGCTGAAAAAGCTTAATTCAGATTTAAAAGAGATAGTTTTAAGGTAGTTGTTGGATATCATGATATCAAAGATTCACTTTCCTGAGTATACCCATAGTGCACTGGAAAAAAAATTGGAACAGGAAAGTAGGGTACAACATCATACTTGAGTACAGTACATGCATTCCTTGCAAATTTTCCCATTTTTTATACGTTTTAAAATGGATGAAAACTGAATATCCTCTGGAATGATGAATTGATAATTTATGCTGCTGTAGTTCTTGAATTGTAAACATTTTTCACTGAGAAATAGGACTGGGCTTGTCTCAATTTGGCAGTTGAAAAGTAAAGATATCCATTTCATGTAAGAGTGTTAGGTACTTGAGTAAATACAGTACAGTACACAGATTTTTGAGGATGCTTCTAGTTGAATAAGGATCAATTATTTTCCAGGGCAAACAAGGTAGGAGAGCATTGAGTCAAGGAGACACGGATTCCATCAGCAGCTGGATCAGGACAAACAGCAGAATTGCCTTTGATGTGCCTGTGCTTGAAGAAAAGCCATTGTTTCAAGCAGTCATGGATCCAGGGTATTCATTCTTCTACATGAGGAAACTGGTTCTTCAGGGTTTGATGCTGGCTGAGCCACAACGATTTGAAAGGGAATTCAGAAAGTTGACCTTTGACCAGATGGTTGAAATTGATGATGATGAAGTGGCTCAAATGTTCCTGTTTCGATGCATTCGCCAGAGCATCTCCTCAATGGAGATTTGCATACCTGTTCGCAGAGTTGGACAATTACTTGATTCACGTCCAATAATTGTTCTGAGTACAATTGAGGACAGTGATGGAAAGAAGGTACATTTTTCACAAAATCTGCATGACTATATAGTATATACCTTCTATTGTCACTCTTTATAAATGAATTATGCTCACAGTCCTCATCCTATTTCTTTCCATATATATGAAACCTGTTGATCGAAATGGTGATTCATTCAGTTGATGCCAGACCTGGGAACCAGTTGGTTCCAACATTCTTTGCAAGAACGAGACCCACGTCAGTTGCCACCAGTTCTTGACACGTCATCTTCTTTCTCAGAAGCACTGAAGAAAGCAGAACTTTTGACCAAGGTAATATTTTTATTGATCCATAATTCTCTATTGAAATCCTTATCTTGATGAACCAAAATGATTCGAAAAGTAGGTTTAAAGAACATCACTAATAACTAAACTTGGTTTATGGCAAATAGTGCTCAAGAAGAAATAAAATTTAGTTCATTTTTTGCGTTCAAATTAGCCCCTTTTGTAAATCCATTTGAAAAATTATGGTTAGTCACCTGATTAAGGGTTTGTGAAGTAAACAGATTGTTCCACTGTAGAGTAAATTACTGAAATATCCTTGTGATTGTTTCAAATAGGTGACAGATAAAAAAGAAGCAGATCTGAGTGGAGCTGTTTTGTTGTGGGAAAGCGTGGAATTTATCAAAGGGAATCCAGAATTCATGCGAACAACAGTTCTGCCTCACCTAGCAATGGCCAACTGGTGTGACCACAACTGGACCAAAGTTTTCAGAAAAAAGCACAATAGTTTTCTTTGCATGTTTGGACTGTATATTTTACTTGGATCAATCTATGCCTGGTTCTATTCTGCTGGTCTTGAGGAACACTATACACATGTTGCATTCAAAAAGCAACAGGAAAGACAAAACAGTTCAGAAGGAACAAGTGGACCCAAAGAAAAGCGGTCAGAAGAAACCTTTGTCATGGGTAAGATAGTTCTCAATGTTCTTGTGGCTTTTATGCAAGTGATGGAGAAATTGAATTCATTGAGATTTTAAAAAACACAAAATCCAAAAGGATGAATTGAGGAATGCATGCATGGTTGATAAGCAGATAATTGCTTTACTCAATCTTGAGGCAAAAAATCTGTGTTTTAATAAAAAAATCTTCTTCAGATATCCACAATCACACTGTAATTGAGCAGCAATGGATCAGATGTCAATTATAAGAAAGATTTTTTCTTGTTGTGACAAGATTTGCAAAAATGTTCAAAAGTGTGTTGTCTTAACTAGCTTAATTTTTAATTGCGGAATTGTTGATCAGACAATTCTTGCAAATTAAACTGCCTTGACAGTTGATGTCAAAGATTTGAATCGTTTTCTGCATACTTTCAAAGAATCAAAAGTAGACTTCAACAATCTTTACAAGTTCATCTTTTATTTCCGTTTCACGAAGCATAGAAATATATGAGCATGCGGCATTGAGGTTCTTGCAGCAAGAGTTTGAGGAGAGTAAACTTAACACACTATTGCAGACACTAGTATATATAGACAATTGCGTTTGAGGTCAGCGCCAAGCCTAGCAACCAATTTGGATGCGCAACCAAGGTAAAAGGTGCATAGCACAAGAAGGTGTTTTAACATACGTAAAAAGGGCGGGGTTTTCCATATGATTAACAATGCGGAACAAATGTGAAGCAGATGAGGAAACTTTACTAAGTGCTGTATATTGTAGACTTGACTTTTATTTGACTACAAGTGATTTTTTGTATTTTTTCAGGTGCAGTTTTTTGGGCAAGTTACTCATTACTGCTCCTACTCTCACTCATCTTCCTTGGATGGGAATGGGGGCAGAAGCTGAAGTTTGGGCCATCAATGTATTGGCAACATGTCGAGAACTGGTTTGACCTGAGCACCACAGTTGTGTTCTTCATCTGTGGCATTCCACTTGGAACATGGTCTCCAATTCTGGCCAGAGCACAGATGAACATTTTACCCTTCTTTCCTGCTCTGGGTTCATTGGCATTCATGAAAGCGTGAGTCTTTTATTTCTGAAGCATTTTTCTGAATTATCTCTGAGAATTTATTGTGTATTAATTGTTTTCAGATGTGGTCCAAGGGGAAGAGGGATCACAGCCATGATGTTTGTGGAATCCTTGGCAAGGCTTAAAGGGCATTACTTGTTTCTAGTCCCTCTGTTTGGGTTTATGATGGCATTCTGGATCATCAGAGAGATTTATAAAAGAACTCTGCCTGGATTTGTTGCTGCACTTCTGGACATTTTGGCATTTTCTGTGGCCAATATTGAAGTTGGTGATTTCACTGGTGAGCACATTCTGAATAAAAATATTAAATTATTGGAATGCGTCAGCTTGGTGGCAATTTTCTAATTTTTAATCATTGGATTGGTGCATTCACCTGAAAAGGGAATTGAAGCTAGTTTTTGTCATGAATTTTGAAAAATAATCCAATGTGCATGACAGAAAGGACTTAGTAAATCTATAGTATCAGAATAAGAAATCCTGTGGACATGGCTGAAAATGTTTCCCAAAATATTATAATAAGAAATTTCATTGGGCCCTGCTATACATTTATTGGTAACCATTTATTGGTGGGGAAAGAGTGACTTGTGTAGTCAATTTTTTTTGCCAAATTCATGTTAAAAATATTTCCCTAAGAATAATATCACCTGAGTAAGTGATAAAAAAGGTAATTTTACTAAGAACCATGCATTTCTCAGTTACCTGAGAAAGGCTGTATGTTTCATAAGATCAAGTCTGAAAATCAGTCCACTTAAAAGTAAAACCAGCAAATCATTTCAATGACAGTCAAGCTGTCAATCCATTTCACATGAATTTCTTTTATCCTTGGTCTGTGCTATGTGTCATATACCTGTCAGTCTTCTCTGAAATACAATACCAATATCTAAAATGGGTGACTAAAAAATTCTGTATATAGGTGGATCTGATGAGCCAACAGGAAGTCCTGGAGGAAATTTCCCTTGGAAAGACGACTTATCCATAAGTGGGCCCATCATTGGAATCATGGCAGCCCTGACACTTCATGTCATCATCTCCAACCTGTTTGTGGGCATTGCAATCAATGTATCACAGGAACTGGAAAAAACTGCTGATGGTCTGCGAAATGAGCGCAGGCTGCTTTTCATGCACACTGTGACAGACTTTTATTCTCTCATGCATCAAAAGAAGCCTGTTTCTGGAACAAATGAAGAACATAATCCTAATGGTATGCTTTCTGCAGACTCTCATAATGTCTCTGAAGCATGAACTGTTTCATTTTACAGTATTTCATTTTTTCAAAGATGCAACTGCTGTTCCTTTGATGAGTCAAACCCAAGCAACCCAAGGGAATGTTTCTTCAAGGACCTCAAGCCTCTGGAGGAGGTTTGCTGAAGGTGTTCAAAGGGTGTGTGGGTATGTTTTGCTGTGGGGAGGGAAAGTCAGTCCAGTCTTTATTGCCCCAGGGAAATTCACCATTTCTCCAATCAATAACGATTCAAGTAAAGTCCAAGGAAGCATATTCATCCCAAGAAAATTAAGATTCCCAAGGTTGTCCTATTATTGGGCAAAATATATAAGGTCTGATGCGCATTTTTTGAACATGTTTGAGTTGAATTCAATGAAAGTATCTAGACAGCAATTCAGTGCATTTTGTGATTGTGTGAGAGACCTTGAAGATCAACTCTGGAAAGAAGGAAGCGCCATGAGAGACACCAACAGGTTCGTTTTTTTCTTGCAGTTGTCATCTGAAGATGTGAATGCATTTCTCATGTCTTTTTATTTTTTCAGGAATGTGAACATTTTGCACGAGGAGACAAAGAAAGTGATTGGATTTATTTCTCAATTGCGGGATGAAAACGAAAAATGTCGCAAGAAGACAATTGAGTTGGAAGGTCAGCTGAAACTTATTCATAATAACATGATGGACCTACAAGCATCAGTTCGAGAAAAATTTTCCCAAATTTTGGAAAAACTGAATGATCAAAAGATGACTGCTGTACTGGTCGACAGTGCTGATCTTAAGCCAGCACAATTGGAAGGGGAAAAATGATATTAAAACAGCATGAAAGTAGGAAACAATTTTTTTTTATGACTCAAACTCAATTTTCTGAGGAAACTGAGAAAATTAAGGACCTATTCTTATGTTTGAATGATGTTGAATGAAATGTGTGAAATCCCAATTTGTGTTTCCCTTGGGTTCACTATAGTGAGTTATTCTTATCATCAAATGTTCTGTCTGTAAAGTTATAATCTGCTGGTACATACAGGGTGGGCCAAAAAAAGTGAACCAATATTTGACTTTAAATAGCTTGGTAGCAAATTCAGCTGTGACAATGAAAAAAGCACCAAATGAAAGCTTGTTCAATTCTCTTTCAAATGGTATGTAGTTTTATTATCCTGCATGTCTTGCAATGGTCACAAGAACCATTTAAATGAAAACTTTCCAAAAAAAAAAAGTTGTCAGGCAACTTTCTCCACTGAGCTGCTGTTCTGGAGAGCTGTTTGCATGAATAAAGGAATTACAGGATGTAATCATTCAACCAGAAAACTCAATGCTGTCTTTGATAGCCTGTACATATTCCCAAAATTCAGAAAGAGGGGGTGAGAAGGAGGAGGAAATTGGCAAAATAGGATGCAGCAGGGCTCTTGTCCTGCATGCCTATTGCAGCTCCCATCAGTGACCCAGTGCATGCACTTTTTTTCTTTCTGGATGACTCAAAATTAATTTCAGTCTAATTCAAAATAATTTTCACTTGAAATGAATTTCAGCAATCCAGTCATCCAGAAAAAAGTGCATGCAGTGTTGCTGAATTAAAAAGGCAGCAAGAATTAAAATGCAATGAAAGATAAAGCTAGAATTTTGCCATCACTTTTAGTCCAGGACTCAGAATTTCAGCATACTGAAAAATTGTAATTACCCTGAGTTTAATCAGCTAAATATATTGTGTCCAATTTCTTTCAAGTAAATTCAGCGAGTCTTGTATGTGCACCATGTTGAAAGATCCTTGGAATCTGCAGCATTAGAGTCACCAAACTTTTCAACAGATGTCACTGAACTCTCTCTGCCGTTAGTGGGGTTATCTCTTGTGCCTCTGGAAGAAAACCACCAGGTGATCAAATGTTCAAACAACTCCAAGAATGAAGCACCACACAAGCCCAAATAGAGCCCAGTTGCACCTCCAAGGCTACTAAGAAAGCCCCAAATCTGTGGAATAAAAGCATGATAATCACCAAAAAAAAACTTGACAAAATAAATGCTAAAAATCCGCATACTTCTTTATAGTCTTATACATTTTATTTAAAAGGAAGTTTACATGGGGATGAATACAGATACAGCAAACATTATGTAAATCTCAGTCAAAAAGTGACTCATTTGATAAATGTTCACATGATAAAATTGAATGTTATAAACTTAATCATATTTTAATTGATACCTGCATTTTTTTGAAAAATGGGTTAAATGAGAAAATGGCATAAATTTTTCCATTATTTTCCACAAATTTAGAAAAAGTTAGAAAGTTTACAGCAAGGTAGCACCTAGATTATTTCAATTCTAAGTAATAACAACTTATTTTGTTGTGAATGTTGAAAACCAGAAAATAAAACTTGCTGTTCAATTGAATTGAATTGTAAAACTTAGTAGTTCTCAATTTTATCTCAATCAATTATTCACACATTAAAGAAAGAAATACTCAAATACAAATACATTTTATATTGTTAATCACATATTTCCCTGTGGAGAAAAAATACTCACGTCATATTTTTGTTGTTCCTGTATAGTTTCCAGATTCAATGTCTTGAAGTACACATTGATCCTTACAAATTCAGCATTAGCAATGGCCTTCTTTTCCTTCTCATCAGGCGCATTGATTTTCGAAAAATCATATTTTGCCATGTAGGAATTGAATATTGATGACTGAAAAATTACAATAAATACTTTTTCAAATACAGTAACTGCAAATTANAAGATGCAACTGCTGTTCCTTTGATGAGTCAAACCCAAGCAACCCAAGGGAATGTTTCTTCAAGGACCTCAAGCCTCTGGAGGAGGTTTGCTGAAGGTGTTCAAAGGGTGTGTGGGTATGTTTTGCTATGGGGAGGGAAAGTCAGTCCAGCCTTTATTGCCCCAGGAACATTCACCATTTCTCCAATCAATAACGATTCAAGTGAAGTTCAAGGAAGCATATTCATCCCAAGAAAATTAAGATTCCCGAAGTTGTCCTATTATTGGGCAAAATATATCAGGTCTGATGCGCATTTTTTGAACATGTTTGAGTTGAATTCAATGAAAGTATCTAGACAGCAATTCAGTGCATTTTGTGATTGTGTGAGAGACCTTGAAGATCAACTTTGGAAAGAAGGAAGCGCCATGAGAGACACCAACAGGTTCGTTTTTTTTGTACTGTAGTCATCTGAAGATGTGAATGCATTTCTCATGTCTTTTTATTTTTCAGGAATGTGAACATTTTGCACGAGGAGACAAAGAAAGTGATTGGATTTATTTCTCAATTGCGGGATGAAAACGAAAAATGTCTCAAGAAGACAATTGAGTTGGAAGGTCAGCTGAAACTTATTCATAACAACATGATGGACCTACAAGCATCAGTTCGAGAAAATTTTTCCAAAATTTTGGAAAAACTGAATGATCAAAAGATGACTGCTGTACTGGTCGACAGTGCTGATCTTAAGCCAGCACAATTGGAAGGGGAAAAATGATGTTAAAACAGCATGAAAGTAGGAAACAATTTTTTTTTATGACTCAAACTCAATTTTCTGAGGAAACTGAGAAAATTAAGGACCTATTCTTATATTTGAATGATGTTGAATAAAATGTGTGAAATCCCAATTTCTGTTTCCCTTGGGTTCACTATACTGTAGTGAGTTATTCTGATCATGAAATGTTTTGTCTGTTAAGTGCTAACCTAGGACATACAGGGTGGGCCAAATAAAATTGAACCACTTTTAGACTTAAAATAGCTTGGTAGCAAATTCAGCTGTGACAATGAAAAAGGCACCAAATGAAAGCTTGTTCAATTCTCTTTCAAATGGTATGTAGTTTTATTATCCTGCATGTCACACAATGGTCACAAGAACCATTTGAATGAAAACTTTCCACAAAAAAAAAGTTGTCAGGCAACTCTTTCCACAATAAGCTGCTGTTCTGGAGAGAACTGTTTGCATGAATAAAAAAATTGCAGGATGCAATAGTTTGACCATGAAACTCCTTGCTGTCTTTCAGAGCCTGCACATGTTCCCAATTTTCAGAAGGAGGGGGAGGAAATGATAGGATGCAGCAGGGCTCCTGTCCTGTATGTCTTGCAGCTCCCAGTGACCCAGTGCATGCACTTTTTCTTTCTTTCTGGATGTCTTGATTGCTCAAAATTAATTTCACACAAAATAAGTTTAATTTAAAATAATTTTCACTTAAAATCAATTTCAGCAATTCATCAGTCATCCAGAAAAAAATGTGCATGCAGTGTTGCTGAATTAAAAAGGCAGCAAGAATTAAAATGCAATGAAAGACAAAGCTAGAGTTTTGCCATCACTTTTAGTCCAGGACTCAGAATTTCAGCATACTGAAAAACTTCAAATACCCTGAGTTAAATCAGCTAAATATATTGTGTCCAATTTCTTTCAAATAAATTCAGCGAGTCTTGTATGTGCACCATGTTGAAAGATCCTTGGAATCTGCAGCATTAGACTCACCAAACTTTTCAACAGATGTCACTGTACTCTCTGTGCCATTAGTGGTGTGATTTCTTGTGCCTCTGGAAGAAAACCACCAGGTGATCAAATGTTCAAACAACTCCAAGAATGAAGCACCACACAAGCCCAAATAGAGCCCAGTTGCCCCTCCAAGGCTACTAAGAAAGCCCCAAATCTGTGGAATAAAAACATGGTAATCATCAAAAAAAGCTTGACAAACTAAATGCTAAAAATCCTAATACTTCTTTACAGTCTTACAAATTGTATTTAAAAGGAACATTTTAACATAGGGATATGAATACAGATACAGCAAACATTATGTAAATCTCAGTCAAAAAGTGACTCATTTGATAAATGTTCACATGATAAAATTGAATGTTATAAACTTAATCATATTTTAATTGATACCTGCATTTTTTTGAAAAATGGGTTAAATGAGAAAATGGCATAAATTTTTCCATTATTTTCCACAAATTTAGAAAAAGTTAGAAAGTTTACAGCAAGGTAGCACCTAGATTATTTCAATTCTAAGTAATAACAACTTATTTTGTTGTGAATGTTGAAAACCAGAAAATAAAACTTGCTGTTCAATTGAATTGAATTGTAAAACTTAGTAGTTCTCAATTTTATCTCAATCAATTATTCACACATTAAAGAAAGAAATACTCAAATACAAATACATTTTATATTGTTAATCACATATTTCCCTGTGGAGAAAAAATACTCACGTCATATTTTTGTTGTTCCTGTATAGTTTCCAGATTCAATGTCTTGAAGTACACATTGATCCTTACAAATTCAGCATTAGCAATGGCCTTCTTTTCCTTCTCATCAGGCGCATTGATTTTCGAAAAATCATATTTTGCCATGTAGGAATTGAATATTGATGACTGAAAAATTACAATAAATACTTTTTCAAATACAGTAACTGCAAATTATTATTTAAAAAAAATGCTGTACTTACTGCGTAATAAGTTGTTGGCCATTGAGCAGAAGAGACATGAGTGTGGTACAAAAAGTCCCTGAGTAAGGAAAGCACATATTTCATTTCTGTATAATTTTTCAAAGTGAATTGCAAACAAAGCAAATACATATTACTGTACCTGCAAGGCAGACTACAATCACATGTCAGACCTTTCTTCTGAAGCAATTCTCTGACTCTCCTCACACAAGTATGATCTGTGTCATCTAAAAAGATATATTTGCATTTTTAACCAATGTACCAGTAGTTGTGCCAAAACAAAATCCCTCACTGATGAATCTGCAAATTCGTTCAGTGTAGCCAATCTTTGAGCCATTGCTTAGTTGGAACTTTTGGAAAATGTGAGGGTCCAGGCAATTGCAATTTTCCAGGATCATCATGGCCTCACACATCCTCTGGCAACTCTAGAATCACCAAGATAAGTAAATCGAGTGACTTGCAAAAAAAGAAAAGAAATTCGCACTATAAATAATGCAGTGAAATCTTCTCACAACAAAAACATTGGGACCAGCAAGACTTTAATATAACCTATTAAATGAGTTATTCATAAAAATTCAAATACTGTTTATTTTTAAAGGCACCTAAAAGTTGTTGCAAGCATTATGTGTTATAATGAGGCTCACTTTAATGTGCTTCTATAAATCCACTGTATTAAGTGTACTTTTTCAGTTTGTTTTAGATTTTTGGGACAGAAAGAAATATGGATCTAGAGTCTTGACTGCTGATGGGTAAACTCAAACATGTATTAAAATTTGTTTTAATGGCCTGAAATGTAGTTTTTAATTCAAGTCAGTTTTACCACAAATTTATTTTTTGTTACTCATGCCCAATATATTTCTTTAATGAACAATTTTCAAAGCTTGAGGCATCAGTAGGTATACTGCAATATTCTACATCTGCATGAAAATAAACTCACTGAGTAAGAATAAGTGTTGAAAGCCGCACTTGCATTTGGAGCACCATACTTCTTGATGATTACCCTGAATGGAGTTTCAGTCCATTCAGATACACAATTTGACTCATATGGACTTGGCATCCTGCTCACCTGTACCTAATATGAAAAAAAATTGTTGATCCACAAACTTGATGAAATATTTTCACAAATATTTACTGTTTGAATAGCCAAATCATTCTCAGTGCCAGTTCTGAGACTCAAGCCTTGGTCACCAGGGTCAGGGTTTGAAAAGACATCATGCACAACTACTCTCACACCTTCTCCTTCTGGAATGGATGTTGGACTGTAATCCTTCTGGCTAACAAACAAGTCCATTGAGAATCCTGAAAAGTGTGACCATCAGCAGACCCATAATGTATTAATATTGGCTGTAATTTCCCACTTTTCATTGCTTTAATCAAGGCTCTGATCCAACTCACTGCACCTCAACTTGGTGGACCTTCTAACAATGTAGGGCAACTGGACTTTGCAGTGAATTTTATTGTTTCAAGCAAACAATGAAAATAAGAGGGTTGACCTGGTGTGGGAACTCCTCCTTAATCTGGTTTAGGATTTATCTGCTTTATTAATTTGAAGCATTTTTAATGCAATTCTTGTTTACTTTTTGTCTTGGTGGCAACTTGATAGTTCAGCCAGTTGACACCCAGCAAATAATTGGGGTGGCAAAATGTGTTGGAAATGCTTTTGACACATCCAGCAGCTATACATAACATGTTATGCCTACTCAGAAGTTTTGTTACATATAGAAGACAGGCATTTTGCTATGCCAGCCTCCAAAGTGCAAAATGCCTGTCTGCTACAGTTGAAAAAGGAACTGGCATAACTGCTGTATTTATACCCATGTAATACAGTTGAACCTTGCTAAGTCAAACCTCTTTAAGTCAACTACAGTACCTCCTAAAGTCAATTTTTTTAGTCTGTGTCTGAGTTCCTTTAGAAATAATGAATTAAAAACCTCCCTAACTTGAAGAATTTTCCTCTAAAACCTCCCAGAGAGAAGCCACTTTTGTGCCAATGTGCTGAAAGTACCATTCATTCTTCCTGCAATAGCTGCTGTCCTTTTTCCTGCATCTGGGTCATTCTTGACATTGAATCCACTATTGAAAGTGAAGCACTTGCCATAATTTGGGTCTGGCTCCATCCTGAAAAAGCTGAATACCAGATTTTTTTTTTTTTACAGAAGTTAGAAATGACTTGGTCTTGGGCTAAACCTTTCATTGTTGCAATCCATGCCATCATATGTGCAAGCCAACACAAAATCATTAAAGTGCATCCCTGCATCAACATTTTTGTCAAAGTTGGACTCATTTCTGTACAGGTCCACCAGAAGCTTCAGAAATTCCTCAGATCTCAAATGTTCCTTCATGTTTTCTCCCAAAGCTTTCCCAATGAGACAGTATGACAAAATGGATGATGAGAGAGAAGTGCCATTTAGTATTGCATCGTCCATAATTTCTGCTACTAAGTTCTTCAGGCTTGTCTGATTCATGACTAGCTCTGCCACACTCCTGCAAGAAATATGATATGAGAAAACTTCCAACTTTTGAAAATATTATCTTCTTTACTCCAAAGTTGACAGGAGATCAACAGAGGTCCCATTTTGTAGATCTTGTGCTGAGACAGATGAATTCAGAGAGGTGATCCACTTGATGAAATGTGACCTCAGCCTTTTGTCAAAGTGCTCATCTGATGTTCTGCTTATCAGCTTCAAGTAAAAAAAAAAATCTTGAAAAAAATGTGTTGGAAATGTATTTATTGTTGACAAACCTTGGCAGCAAGGGGTTGTTGATTGACAGTATGATAACACTCAGTCAATGCAAAAATTTCTCTGTATAGGTTTGGCTGTTTGATGAAAGCTGAAGCCAGATTGGTGCAAGGTATTGGATTCAGATTGCAAACTGTGACTGCAGGAAATGGCAAGCTTCTCTCATAAGACACTGACACCTTGAAAAAAAAAGCATATGAAGATTCATCCAAATCATCTTGTTATCCTTAATTTACAAAAGGATTGTGAGTTGGATGTTTAATAAGCTCTTTTATTAACACCGGTTACTTTCAACACAACACAATACACAAATAGTTTTAAGTCTTCCCAGACTGAGAAACTATTCCAAAGTCTTACTTGAGAAATCAAAAGTATTTGCTAAATCTAAAGGTTCATCTTTCAACTCCAGAAAAGCTCTGAGTTGCAAAGTGGAAATATTCCATATTAAGTAGACTTTGGGGGGAACCAGGAAGCAGCACTCTTTGTGACTCTTCCTGCATCTGGTATTTCACTTAACTTCCGATAAAGAGAGGTTACAATATTCTTCCTGAAAGGTAAAGGTCAGCCTCTTCTAGGAAGAGTGTTTTTCCCATCACCTCTCTTCAAGCATTCTAGAGAGAGACAAGAGTGTTTTAATCATTACTCTTGTCACTTGCCTGATTGGAAAGAAGATGCTGACATTTACATTACCCTATTTCTTTAAAGTGAAAGAGGGCAGAGGAAAAGGGGAAGACCAAAAGTTTAATCCCTTTTCCTAGGATATCAATCTTGAAATGTAACTTACCTGAGTCAACACTGGATAGTTGTAGTAGTCCATGAAAACTGTGTAAGAGTTGAACACTGTCAAGCCTCCAAAGATTATCAATGTCAAGAACCACACAGTCTTCTGTGTGTAGTGATGTGAGGCTTGCAAATGGGAAATTCCAGGTATTGTGGAATTGTACTTCTTCTTTTCAGTCTGTTCTTCCATTTTCAATTCTGTAATATTCTTCTTTCATGCAAAAAAGCACTTCCATTCACAGCTGTCAACAGAGGTTTATTCCAAAAAAATGTTTTGAACTCTCATGGAAACTCAACCCTGAATGAAATTATTCCTGCTGGCATAAGCAGAAATTGCTAAGGCACAGTCTGTACATAGCAGCTAAGGATCATGAACTGCCATGCTCAAATATACTCAGAACTGCATAAATGCGCTTTTTTGTTGCAGCAGCTATATTGAATATTGATGAACTTTAGGCCACACCCTAGTCATTCCCACTGCTGGAGGAGTTTGCCACTAATTCTGTCCTTGAAATGCGCACCTAATGATTCCACCTCCACTTAAAATGCTGACTTGGCCAATATAATGAGCACTTCAATGAGAACAAGAAAAATAGTTTCCAGTTTATTTCTTCCCAATGCTGTCATGTCAGCATGTTCAAACACTGCAATTACCATGGGGGAAATTCAACTCAGGCTTTCTCAGAAATTCACTCCATTCATAACAGTGTGTTTCCAGCATTTTTCTTCAGTTTTAGCTCAGTTTAATGGTCAAGGTGCCAAATTTGCAGCAATGTGTATGACCTTTAGTCATTATTCACATGTATGGACAAGCATCATTTGGCTCAAAACCATTATCAGCAATTATCTGCTTGTAGAATTTGGCAGATGCTTTTGCAGTCCTTGGCCTCTCTGGATCACTGAAGTTGACATGGTGAAGTCCAAACTTGATCCTTCATGAATATATGCTTTTTTTAGTAAGAGGCATATTTTAAGGTTACATAATTGGTCCCCACAAAACAATACTAATCCATACTAAAGTGCACATCATTCTGGAACATGATTTTTCTCTGGTTATAATTTTGGAAACATTTAATCCATTTGAGGCAATCACAAGAGATCCATAAGGAGCCTTTAAAAAATGTTTATATAACAGCAAAATTGAAGTAACCAACACAATGTACTAATTCAAAGGATAACAAAATTAAAAATTCAACCTCCTGCCTTTGTTTCTGCTGGTGTTTACCTTGATGATGTGAAAGCAAACAGGTTAAAATTCAATGACAATACTTTCTGAAAGTGACGCTTTTTCTGGAAACTATGGGACAAAGAGCCTATTCTGTGAACTGAGTCAATAATTCTTTTCTGAGAAATATTTCCTGCTTTTTTCACACAGGGATCCACTACTGAATAATAATAAAGAATGAAACTTACGTATATCCAGCAACCCATTCCATATTGTCCATAAGAGACCAAGCCATGAATCCCTTTACATCACATCCATCTTCATTGATGGCTGAAATAATAGGAAACAAAAACAAAACTATTTCACTTATATTCAGCAACATTTTGAGGTGTTCCATATCACCTTCCATCAAGTGATTTAGATAGTGCTTCAGATAGTAGACTCTTGGAAGGTCATCAAGATTTCCAGCCTTGTCAGAAAACCCACACTCTGTTATGTACACTGGGACATCATATCTGCTCTTCATCCATTTTAGCAAGTCTCTGATCCCAGGTGGAAACACATAGAGCCAATCCACATCTTGAGCTCTTTCATTATTTGTTGAATTGAGAATGTTTGAATGAATTTGAAGGAACAAGTTCTCAATTTTGGGAAACTCACTGGTACCAGGTTGGGTCAACAGAATTAACCACATCCCTGTCAGCAAAATAGTCAATTGCATTCAAGTCACTCTGTTGATAGGCAGCTAAACCAGATGTGTAATGGTTTAGGCCTATGAAATCCACAGAACCCTGATTCAGGAGAATCTCTTCTTCTGTGAATGAAGGCAGTCTTGATTGCTCAAATCCTTGTTGACTGCTCTTTTCTGCAACTCTCGCGAAAAGAACTTTATTTCTTACCTTCAAATTCAATTGCTTCTTCTCCTAAATTTTTCATCCATTCCATATCATATTTTCAGCTTTGTGAGTTTGTCTGTTTGACATATCTTTTTCTCACAGCTAAACCAGATGTGTAATGGTTTAGGCCTATGAAATCCACAGAACCCTGATTCAGGAGAATCTCTTCTTCTGTGAATGAAGGCAGTCTTGATTGCTCAAATCCTTGTTGACTGCTCTTTTCTGCAATCTGAATACAATGACATTGAGCTCATCTGAAGATTTTATTTTGTATGATTTAAGAAGTTAAATAAGGTTATGCCTTGTCAATCATCACTTGTGGATAGTTCCCATTAGCTGCCAAGACATTTGCAAACCATCCAAGGGAAAACTCAATGTCCCTGTCTGCAGCTGCTTGATCTTCTCTGGAATCTGTTTTTGGATATGCCATTCCTGCATTCAGGGTGATACCAACAAGCCCTATGTATGAATATAAAACATAAATTTTCTCATTGATGAATGCATCCATCCACATTCCACACCCTTTTGAGCAGAGGAAAACATATTTTTGTACAGCTGATAGACCTGGACATGAGCTTTGATCAGGTTGTGACCACATTGGTAAACCAGAGTCCCTTTTGACTGCTCAATCTCAGGTTTGTAAGTGTAAATGCCAAACATGCAAGTCACCCAAGGTTCATTGAAGGTTATCCAATGTTTAACCTGTAAAATTTTCAATTATATAGAGTTTTACAGTCAATTGGTTTCCACACTGTGTAGCAGAAGTTATTGAAGACTATTTTTGGAATATTTCTGGGCAAAACAAGGTCATGGAAATTTTGAATATTCAATTTATATCTTAGGGGCATCATAAATTGTCTCACCCTGTCCCCAAATTCCTCAAAACAGACTTTTGCATATTCCTCAAACCAATCAGCACTGACAGGGTTCAGCCAACCACCTTGTTCCTCCAAAGTGATGGGAGTGTCTGAGTGAAAAAGGGTGACCTGGAGAGATCTTTAAAAAATGGAGATCCCTTTCATCAGAGTCAAAACCAATAACCTTTCTCACCATTGGCTGAATGCCCTTTTCCAGGAGCCCATTTATAAGATTGTTGTAGTAATCAATGCCCAGTTGATTCCTTGGTCCTCTTCCTTCAGGAATGATCCTGGTCCATGCTATTGAAAATCTGTAATAAGAAGCCTGCAAAACAAGCATCAGGTGCTTGGGTCATATTAATGTGCTCAACAAACATTGGGTCCATGCTTGATTAACAATGTGATCATGACCTGCTGGATGAATTATTTGAAAATTTTTATAATTCAGAATATGGTTTCCCATGGGTTGAATCATTGTGTAAATATTCAATCAATTTCAGACATATAAAAACAGTTATTATGATGAACTTCATTAGCCTGTGTATTTAGGGAAATTATTAGTTAGAACCTGAAACATAATTTTTGTAAAACAGTTGGAGTGATCCTGAAAGTGAAACTTTCAACTTTCTGAAACTTTACTGTATGATCTTGTTCATATGGGGACCCCATTATATATTATTTATAATCAAAATATTGGGAAATATTACCCCTGCATCAACCAAAAGTTGAATATCATCCCTCCATTTATGATAACTGTCACATGCTACATCACCAGTTGCATTCTCAGCAATGTCTTCAGGCCTTGTGTGTGTGAGCCAGTCCCAAATACTGATGCCTTTCCCTGAAAAAGGAGCAGAGTGAAATATGATGCATTTTCTCTATACTGTAGATTGTTATTTACAAACTGTAGTCATAATAACAACCACAACACCCCTCACTTTCCGCACAACCCTTTTAAGCTAATGTATTTCTGCTACGCTTGGCTGCACCTGGTGTGTTAGCAATTATATTTCACAATCCCATTGTTGATGGAATACTTTCCCAACCACTCTCACGCTTCCTTCCTTTTAAATAAACAAAATGTGATGTCCCCGATCCAAATTGGTTTCTATGCAAGTTCCTCAACCTTGGCCAGCCAAAGCTATATATACAGGTGCATTTTACGTTGCGTTAAGTTTTACCACACCAGACTCTGTCTGAATGCCAAATCTATGCTTTGCTCTGTAGCATTGTAGTGCATTGACTGTGTGAAAAGATATAATAAAATATTACTTGAAATACGTACGGAGTAACTTTTGTGTTTCCTTTGGAAGTTGCAGAAAACAATTTAAATCTCCGATTAAATTCCTTAAATTATAAGAAGCCTCCATCAACAACTGATCATTGTTGAGCGCACTCTTTGGAATTATAGTTTTTGGATAACAAAACTTACCATCCAAATTCCAGCCACCTTCAATCTGATATGCAGATGTTGCAAATCCCCAACCAAATCCTTCTGGGAACTTCCCATATGTTATGGGTGCATCAGAGTAACTTTCTACCAGCAGTGAGTACTCTAAAAGGGTTGTTGTGCAAAATAACATGTACCATGTACAGCACATTTTTCCTACAATGTTTGAGCTAAAACACAAATGCAAATGGAGGTAACATGATAATTTGACTTTATTCTCTTCCATTTCACTTGAGCATAAACAAGGGAATTCCCTGCATTAATTCTAAGTCAGATAAGCATGTTCACCAAGTGCATTATCAACACATACAATGACTTGGCAAAACCCAAATAATCTGCAAAAAGTGGTTCCTGCATGGCTTTAAACTATTTTTTTTCTTCATGCAGAAATTCAGTAGGGACATGAGTTGTCATCTTCAACAAAGCCATTGTTGGCAATTATGGTCTTGTAGAATTTTGTGGATGCCTTGACAGTTCTTGGCCTCTCAGGGTCATTGAAATCAACAGAGTGCATTCCAAACTTTAGTCTGAAAAATAGAAAATAATCACTGAAGCCAAGCTTGAAAAATTAAATTGACTTACGTATATCCTGAAGCCCATTCCATATTGTCCAAAAGAGACCAGGCCAAATATCCTCTTACATCACAACCATCTTCATTGATAGCTGTGAGAATAATGAAAATGGTTCTATGAAAAAGTAATAATTTTGTTTTACAGAATCATTATTTTTCTAATGACATTCTTCCAGGTTTTTAAACATGACTTTGTTCTTCAATGAGATTTGCTGAGCACAAAAATTTTCTTTAATTTATTTTATTGCAAGAATTTCTTGCTTTCAAAAAATATAACAAGTCTCTTACAGTGCATCCATAATTTTTTATTTGTCTTGCTATAGAAGATGTGTTTTAGGTCCTAATAATGACTTTTTAACAGGATTCTATCTTGAAGGCATCTAAAATTAATAAACACCTTTCATTAAATTGTTGAGGTAATGTTTGTAGTAATACATCCTCATGAGATCATCAGTATTTCCAGCTTTGTCAGCCCAACCACTTTCAGTTATGTAAACAGGAATTCCATATTCCCTTTGCATCCAATTCAGCAGAGCCCTGAGTCCATATGGAACCATGTAAAGCCAGCCAACACCTTCTGCACTGTTTTGAGACAAACAACATCCAATGAAAAAGTAACATCTGTCTAAATGACAAATTCTACTTGAAAGTTTGAACACTTGAAACTCACTGATACCAAGTTGGGTCTACAGAATTGGCAATGTCCCTGTCATAAAAGTAGTCTACCACATTGATGTCACTTTTCTCATACTGTGCAATGGTTGAGGTATAATGATTGAGACCAAAGAAGTCTGCAGATCCAAGGTTTCTTGCCTTTTCCTCTTCTGTGAATATTGGCAGCCTTGATGCTAGAAATCCTTGTTGGCTGCTCTTCTCTGCAATCTGGAAACCATTTATTCCATTTTCTAGTTTCAGCTAATTAAAATTGGCTAGGAAATATGTTTTTTTCAGCACATGCTGTTGAAAACAAAGTATATTTTTGAGGAAGGAAACATAAATTAGCAGATACAGTATCCATAGTTGAATCATTATTGTGGATACCTGATCAATCATTGCCTGGGGGTAGTCACCATTCACAGCAAAAACATGAGCAAACCATCCCAACATAAACTCAGTATTTCTCTCTGCTGCTTCCACATCCTCTGGGGAGTTGGTTTTTGGATAGGCCATGTCTGAATTCAGGGTTATCCCAACTTTTCCTGGAATCCAAGAAAAATCATGCCTCATACCATCATCCCAATTGATTTACACACATCAATGTTTTTTTTGGCTCATTATTCAGCAAAAAGCTTATTCAAATATAACTGTCTAGCCTTTTAAAAATTTTAAGTTTATGCCTGAGATTCACCAAACAACCAACCAATACATTATGCATTCAGTGAGAAGGAAAGGTAACACTAAGTTACCTTACCTTAGGTAACACCTAAGTTTGTAGAAAATAGTTTCAACTTTGGAATAAAGAATTGTTGTCAGATTGGGAAGTTCTGGGCAACCCAATTTCCTATAATTAGAAGCATGCACAGCTAAATTCAAAATACCTTGCTGGGTGGGCTCAAAATCTCTGTAATACAGCTCATATGCTTTGACATGGGCCTTGATAATGTTGTGACCACATTGATAAGTGTAAATCCCTCTATCTTGCAGCTCTGGTCTGTAATCAAAGATTCCACTAATGCAGGTGACCCAAGGCTCATTGAAAGTGATCCAAAATTTCACCTGAAATATGAAGGACATGTAATTCAGTTGAAGTGAAATGTTTAACTTATTGAAGCAAGTTCCTCACTCTATCTCCAAATTCTTCAAAGCAAACCCTGGCATATTCTTCAAACCAGTCAGGACTGTCTGATGATAACCAACCTCCTTCTTTCTCAAGGGCCAAAGGAGTATCCCAGTGGAACAAGGTGATCTGAAACCATCAGATTTTATATTTAAAAAAAAGCTAAAATACTGATTGCATGCACTTCATGTGCATAGTGACCATGGGTTGGATTCCTTTCTCAAGTAAGCCATTGATGAGGTTGTTATAGTAATCTAAGCCCCCTTGATTCACTTGTCCAATGCCATCTGGTAAAATCCTTGTCCAGGCAATGGAAAATCTATAATGTGTGGCCTGTAAAAGAGAGAAAAGAAATTGGTTATTTACTATTTGATTCTCCTTGACAATTCTGGTGTAAGAACCCCAGCATCAGCAAGTAACTGGATGTCTTCCTGCCACTTGTGATAGCTATCACAAGCCACATCACCAGTTGTGTTGTCAGCAATTATCTCAGGTTTTGTGTGAGTCAACCAATCCCAAACACTTTCTCCCTTACCTAAAATATGATACCATATAAAAACTGAAATTTTGAAAAATTAAATTAAATCCCAATGAGAAAAACCATCACCATCCTCATTCCAGCCTCCTTCTATTTGGTATGCAGATGTAGCAAATCCCCAGGCAAATCCCTCAGGGAATGTTCCATAGGTGATGGGCTCATCAGAGTAACCCACTGAAATATTGATCAACAACCCAACAAAAACAAACCCTAAAAGTAACTTCATGATTCAGTATCTACTGAATTCTCCACAGAATTGTATAGTGAGAAGGCAAGAGAAGAGTATAGTGAATGGAACTTTCCCTTTTTGTGATAACGTAAAAGTTGCGGTGTTATCTACATCATATGGATTTGTCCACCTTTTTGATATCATGAAAGTGTGGCTTATCAAGGTAGTCACTGAAAACTCTGCTGAATCTGAAACTAGGATCTTCACCAAAAGAATGCATTCCTAACATTTAGATCTCAGAGAATCAATGAGCAAAAAGTAGCAATTGTTGCGGGTCAACTAGGTGTTGCCCAGAGCAAATGAGATTGCACTGTGAAATGACTAGATGTTGCTCATGGTCACGCCACATTGCTTAGAAGCAACTGGAACCCACAAGAACAAAAGTTATATAAATCAAAATATTCTATGAAGGTCTGAAACCTTCATAGAATATTCCAAAATTATTACAAAACATCATGAGTAATCCTCATCAAAAGGATTCTCATGAAACACCAGACACAGCTCCAAGAAACTGGCCTTCAGGTTCATTTCCATTGGAATGGACCTGAACCTCAACACCAAACCTCATAATGATCATCATTGCTGTTTCTGAAGTGTGCACGCAAACATCACTCTGCAAAAGCTTGTATTCTGTGTTCAACATATCATAATTTGGAAATGAAGCTTCAAAGTTGAGCTTTGCGGCCTCCTCAGGCCACAAACGGCCAATTGCCCCAGTGTCATTATTTCACTGAAACCAAATTTCTTTGTCTGGAGTCTAAGGACCCAGGACAGCAATGTTCTATGATTTAAAGATGATTGTGTGATTTGTCCAAACATTTTAGTTCCATGTATGTAAAGGATGGCTTATAAGTGCATAATGACTGAAAATTGAACAGAAATTATAATCAGGATATTCTTCACATTATATGCGTTTATTTCAAGTATATCTTTGAATTAATTAGGAGAGGTGAGATGAAATCAGCAAATAACCCATTTCTTCTTTTGTTATTGTAAAAATGTTCTCTACATCCTGGATGAATTCAAACTCTTTAATATCATGAAAGGACTGTGCATCAGTAGTGCAGTCCTTTGAAAAGAATTTATAACCAAGATGTATACCCAAAAATAATAGATTCATTTCAGGAAAACATGGAATGGATGAAGAACTGAATTTCAAGGGTCCTCTGCAATGGGAATGGTAGACCACCAGGGATCCAACTTGGGAGCCTTGCTTGGATTTTCACTCCCACTTTGCTTTGGTTTGAATTTTCTTGGTCTCACCTGGAAATTTGGAGAATTTTGACTGAAGTCCTCCTTAATCAACAAAACTATAAAAAAACTGACCTTCATTTCTGCCCTCTTCAAGCTGTAGTCACCCTTGAAGTGTTCCCAGATTATTCCTTGGAAATGCAAGTTATCTTCATTTTCACCAAAATAAGGCCCAGTGAGATTGGACTCAAAGCAAGCATAGAACCACCAGCCACTTGACCCATAAGCAGGAGAACAAGGGCAACATTCTGGAGCTCTGTCATTTGTTCTATCATATGTGCTGAACATGGATCCATTGTGGGCTGATAGGGAGTCTGATGCATTCCCAGAGTATCCATTGATGATCAAGGTGTAGTTGGTTGATTCATTCAAAATTCTGCAGAAACAAATTAAAACAGCTCAGGAAATCTACAGATCATGGAGTGCTATGATGGAGGATACAGAAATTATTCAATGAAACTTTACATTCCCTAAACACATGAAGCAGGTCCATTATGTTGCCTTTCATGTTGATTTAATTAATATTATTTCTGAGTGTCACTTTCTGTAATTTTCACCTCAGCTTTGGTACATGTAAATATTCTACATGCAGTTTTCATGCCAAAATGGAAAAGTGTTGAAAACTTTTCAAAAATATTTAGAGGATAATAGACCAATAACATTTAAAATTTCAACCCTTTTGATGGGAAAAAAATGAAATTGGAAGTGACTAATTTTGTTGAAGATTGAGTTTAGTTATCCAAGTGGCTTCAAATTCCGTTCAAAGATTTTTTATACATGAAAACTAGGTCAGTTGCTTACAATTGGCAGAAAGTTTCATCTAGAAAATCATTCAAGTCATGTTATTTGGCATGGTGCTGTATATATTAGGAAGACTTACTGGAAATGAGAGTATTCAGCATACACAAAATTTCCTTCAAAATCCTCCAGCTCCACTCTAAGTATAACAGGTTCTTTTTCAGTCAATCTGAAAAAGATGTCACAACATCCAATTTTGATTTTACAATGAATATGCATTGAAAAGAGCATTTCAAAAATCATAACCTGTGAATTTGTTCATTGCCAAACCAAAACTCCTTTTCCATCTTCCCAAAGCCTTTCCTGTAGTTGATCCAGGGTTGAGAGAAGTCTTGCCTGGGAAGTCCAAAATCATCCCTCCTCAAGATCACCTTTTATCAGAAGAAAATATGTAGGGAGATATTTTGAAATATGTAAATGAACCTCATCTTTAACTTACAGTCCATCCACCACCTTCAGTGACTTGATCACAATATCTGATGTAGAAATTGAAGAAGGGGTCTTCCATAGGTTCATCATGAGGTAGATATATGACCCCTGACTCTTCTCCACCAACTTGTCTGGCTGCACATCCGTCTTTGCTTTCAGTTTCATCTGAAGGACTGACATCTACCTCAACATCAGAAACTGTGTCCTGCATACTTGGCATGATAGTGACAGGTGGGGTTGTTGAAGTTTCTTGTACAATGAATGGCGTTGTCTCCTGCTGACCCCTGCTGATTCCAACCTTTTATCATCACCAATTTTAAAATTTTCATTTTATTTCATTTATTCAAGTACCATTTCACTTTAATGTCATTTCAAGTGTTCAAAAAAATAAGGCATGGATGAAAGAAAGGTGCAAAGTTTCCCAAACTTTGAAAAATTGTGATACAAGACTTGAATAAAAAATTAAAGCCAAGAATTTTCCATAATTTGGATTTTCAATTGAAATTGTGATGTTGAATCAGATCAAATCACAGAGAATGAGGTAAACTGCTTTGTCTTTGTTGTGTTTCCTAGTTCACAAGTATAATATAGCATGTTGACTGTATACATTACTGGTTATAAAAAGAAAGTAGAATACTGTACAGTACTTTTTCCAGAGATATGCAATTAAAAGTTATGCACCAGACCTAAGATTGTATGTGGACATATTAAAAATGGATATAAACCTATTGTAAATTTATATTTTTATTCACCCTAAATCCTTCTTTCATTCATTGCAGTTTTTGAAACATATTTTCTACTGACAGGAAATGTGGGTCTTTGATAGATGCAGGTTTTTGAAAGAACACATTCTCTTGAATGTCAAGGTGTGCACATATACTTAAGGGTATATGGTACTCAAGTAAATACAGAATCTCTTGGAAAAGAGTACATCTTGGAAGCTTTTCCAGCATCTTTTGAGCCAAAGCAGTTCTTGTCCAATTTCAGGGACAACCTGTCAACCCTGTTGAGAAGTTCAGCCATTTGTCTAGTGTAATGATCTTGAATCAACCCCAGGCGCCTTTCATCATTGAATTCATGTGTCCTCAGTACTTCATCCAGTTGCCCAAGCTTGAACTCAGTGGTGGCCTATTGTAAATAAGTATTGAGCTTATAATTTTAAAAGACCATTCCTCAAAATATGTAAAAATATTTGAAGGTTTTTACCTGGAAACCCTTGAACCTGTGAGTCTGGTCATAGCAACATTTGTGAGTCTCCTCAACATGGTTGGTGATGGAAGAAAACTTGAACTTTGACCTTTTCTCCATCTCATTCCAAGTGGTCACACAAAAGCTGGGGTACTTTTGTTTGCTTCCTGATCCCATAGATGTCGCATCTGATGCACTTGTACTCATCAAGCCAGTGTTGCTGACAGCTTGTCTGAGCCCAGATACTTCTTTGGCCACAGCTTCTATCTCTGTTGTGATCAGCTTGGTACTGGCCTTGAGAATATCTTCTATTTCCATAATTCAAGGTTTAAACACTTCTGATATTATTGTAAAGGTAGGGAATAAATATTTTGACAAAATCACCAGGAAATGTATGCTTGGATTTGGAGTGGCAACCAGAGTTGTCTTCATCTAGGTGAGTCATCATGTCACTTCTCAGGTCACCAACCATTTCCATCAGCTTCCTCACATTCTGCTGCACTTCACTGTTGTTTCTTTTACAGGTTTCTCCATCACCAGAAAGGGTCAAGTCAGCATCAGAATCGTCAGAATCACTTCCAGCAGCTGTTGATGAGGTTGTTGGCCTGAAGGCAACACATGCCCCAGTCTCCAGAAGTTCCTCTATTACCTGTACAATGAGTTCTTTTTGTCTGATGTAATATTTTTAGCATCTCATACTATACATTTTATGAAACACATGGAAACATGTTTCACAAGTATTTCTTGTGAAAGTGCAGAACTGAAAAACAAAAGTACATAGGTAGTCTGTTTCAGCTGTTCTCTTGAAACTCACAGTAGCAACAAAAACTTTGTTCTCAGCTTCATGGTCTCTGCGCAAAATGTTATCAATTTTGGAGTCCAGGGACTTGAGGGTTGTCATGACACCTTTTGCTGCAAATTCTGCCACCAGGGGGTCTCTTGAAAAAGCACCATTTGATGAAGAAGAAGAAGAAGAAGAAGATGATGATGTTGATGAGGATAATGATGATTGCTGTCCAGAAGCAGTTTGGTCCTCAGTTTGACTGCTGCCAGTTGGACCATTTTCCAGTTTTTGGACAAGCAAGGACAAGCGGTTCTCCAACTCCAATGGGAACCCAGGCCTTGCTGAACTGATGAGAGGAAAGGTATAATTGTTTGACAACATCAGTAGATTTCTGGATAGACTTACCATTAAAAAATGCTTACTTATTCAAGAAAGCTTCATTTTTTTAAACACTACTCAGCTCTGGACTGAATTGACTTTCCATAACTTGGTTCCACATGCTTAGAAGATATTCTCTTCTTTTGAACTGAAAGATGTCACTACAAGCTGAGTTTCAATATTTTGCTTCTTTTCCAGGTATGGTATTTCAATTCTACCAAAATTTCATTTTTTTCTAATAATACCAAAAAAGTCACATCTTTTGGAGCAATGTTCAAAGCATGGACTTTTAAATTTTGATATGATTTAATCAATTCCAGAAAGGTTAACAATTCAATGAAAATGAGACACCAGTTTTTTTTGTAATCTCTGTTTTTTAATATTCATAATTCTTGAACTCAATTCCCTATGGTTGCCATGTTAAGAGTTACCAGAAAAACTCAAACAGATAATTAATTTTTTCAACTGTGTGAAAATTGATCAAGTTCCAAGAATTTTAATTTACATGTAATGCCATCAGGTAATGACCAACAGAAGTCTAAAGCAATGCTCTGCTGCCATTTTTTATTGGTCAAAGCAAAAAAATAGAATATTTTTGGAGCATAAATCAAATGTTCATCAAGAAAATGTCAGAGCAAGCCCTTCACACATAGCTTAAAAAATTATCATGTGAAAATTGAAAACAATTTAGGAAAATAAAAAGCATATGGTTATAAGCAATTCTGGACCTTCTCACATCAGCTGATGAAAATAATTAAACACTTACCACTTTTAGTAATTATCATCTCCTTTCAAAAATTGAAAAATTTGTCTATCCCAACATGTGAAAGAAAATTAGAACCTGATGGAGGAACTTCTGCTGAGTAAGTCCAGTTTTCTGTCAACAGCTTTGATCTGCTCATTCCAGGAGGACACATGCAACTGGAAAGTGTCCCAAACATGTGCTCTTTCCTGCAAACCCTTGACATTGCCATCAATCTGTGACAAGGACAAGACAACATAGTTGAGCTTCTCTGTCAGGTCCTGCAGTTTGGATGCTTCCACTGCTTTCAAAGCGTCTGAGAACAAATAATTATAGAAAAGGATTTCTATTCATGAACATTCCTTCATGAAATCCATGCCAAACTTTTGCAGGTTTTGTACATGGGGTAGTTCTAAAGTTTCCTTGGTTGGAATCACATTCTAGAATTAAAATTTTAGATAAAAATGTAGAACCTTATTGTAATGCTGATTTTAAAAGGACTCAAAAATTTTAATTTGGGAGTTTTTCAATCATGAACTTTAGCTCTTTTTGCTGGGAAGCTTATACTCCATGGAAACTATTTTCTTGCCAAATCCTCAGAGATTTTCATTACCCATAAAATTATTACTTGTAGGAATGCAGATGCCTGATTTTCTTTGTGAAGATGAGTATGATAAAAAATCATTTACATCTATTTTTTTCTGAAAAACTACGTGTTTTACAATTTAGCCTTATAACATAAAGGCTTCAAATCTGGCTGAAACAGGTTCTGTTAAAATGAATTTGAAGTTATGAGGAGATTCAAATGGTGTGAGATTTGAGGGAATTTGTCAGGCAGGAAATGGAAATGTAATTTAGGAAGTTTTTAACTTGGCAATGGTAAATTATACTTGAAAAGTTGTTTTCTTGAGAACAAAATTTATTTTTGTGCATCCAGTGTAATCTTGGTTTCATCAGCTATTTTTGAGTAAAAGTTTTTTTAACACGTTTTTATTAACTTGCTTTCTTGTCCGTTTGTTTGTAACGTGGTTTTTTAGATTAATTTTTTAATCTACTATAATTATTTTATTCATTTAAAAAAATATTATTTTAATTTTTCTTTTCACAAAAGATTGCATTATTTTGTCATCAGTGGTTATATATATTTTTTAATCTACTAAATTTTTTTTAAGATCAAAATTGAATATTCTGGATAGTTCAATGGATTTTTGTGTTTTTTGCATGTGAAACTAACAAGTTCTCCGAAAAAAAAGATGGAATATTGCATTTGTTTTTTGGGACATCAGTTTTATTCAAAAAGTTGTTTTTATAGAATCAGAATATTTTTTTTAAAGAAGACAGGATAAAATCCAACTTATTCTCAAATGTTTTAATCATGATGAGTTCCACTTTTTTATTTCAGGAAGGTGAACAAGACTGACATGAAAAATTTCAAATACTTCCCTTCATTTCACACATAATTTCCTCTCGGAATTCGCAGAAAAAAGGAAAGTATTGCGCAATAATTAGTCTGAGAAGTTCTGTGTTTCATCCCGATGCAATAATAGTGTTGTGTAACTCGCTTTTTCACGCTTTCCGCTAAATTTCGTACTTGTTATCCTCAATTCAAATAGGATAAAAAATACAAAAAGCGTATAATAAATTACTCTACAATAAATAAAATAAAAACAAAAGAGGACCGTAAACTTGCTTCGCAACAAAGAACAGCAACAACAAAGCCACCTTTTCTCTCAATCCCACACAAAGTTGTTTTCGTGCCGAGTCATTTTTGTGCCATTTTCTAAAAATGTGAACTGTGGGCTAATGAGCAGAAAATGAATTCGGAATCACGATGTGAAGCATTTTCTATACACATTGTTCGTTTCCGATTTGAAAAAAAGGAATAGAATGTTTAAAAAAAAAGAGAGGAAGATGAGGAAATGCGGATGCGAACTTCTTGACTCAATAAATTGAACGCGAGCAAAAATTGCACGCAAAAATGCGCAGGTCACGTTTCAAACACTCTTGAGGTACTCGAAAATTCTTTCATAATTTATTCCAAATTTGTCATTGAGTTTTGATAAATTTTCCAATCGACCCTGATGGAAAAGAGAAATAATTCTTGTTTTTTTTCGAGCGGAAACAATTTTTCTCTTGAAAAAAAAACTGCTCGTCGATCGACAATGAAAAAGAAACAAAAATGAGATTCACATTTTCCAAACGAATTATTCGAAGAAAAAAACGAATCAGAGGCGTGATAAAAAAAATTGAACTTTGAAATATAACCTCATTTGTGATACATTTTTCAATACGAAAACAGTTCCTGCCGTGAAATTATTCACAAATTATAAAATTGTAAATAATTTTGTTTCTGATAGACAGGTGGAACTGTATTCAAAATCGTTCATATTTATAAAAAAAAAAGGTCGTATTTTTCCAATTCCTGACATTTTCCCTTTCATTGAACAATAATTTTTTCAAATAGAAACAAATAAGACTCAGGAAACCTCGAGTTAAATTAATAATTCTCGATGAAAACATTTATTCTTCCTTAAGAAGTTCAATGTTTTCTTTAAAATGCAAAAGTAAGAAAATCGAACAAATGTATATGTTCCATTGGTCAATTTTTCGCATTTATTCAGAAGGACTTAAAATGAAAAAAATACCGCGTTTTCAATCGACTACACAAAAATTGACCCAATTTTCGCACATTTATGGAAGTTTTTCTGAAACTGAAAGAAAGCGGTTTTTTATTGTCAAACACATCTGACAATTTTATAAAAAAACTTGTAATGAATGACACTCACAAAACGCTTCAAAGTTCATCCTCTCGATGAAACAAATCGGGACATAATTTCGGCAGCAGGATAAAAACATTATTTGAAAAATTGAGTAACTGGACAATTTCATCCTCGATTTCCAAAGCTCACGATTCGCATGATGAAAACAACGGTATTCTTCACGTTTCTGACTTATATTCCCCATTAAATTTAAAACTCAGTTCGGTTTTTCTCCATTTATTCGTAAATAATTTCCGCAATAATTATACAACCATTGTAACGGCGAAACTGTCAGCTGCCAAAAACGAGGTCTCGCCAATAAATCAAATAAGTCATTTTATTTTATTATGTTAATCAAAACATTTAAAAACTTTGTATTCATACTTGAAAATTGAAATAAGCTATATAGGTGAGGGGGTTTTTCACCTCGAGAAAATTTGCAAAAACTACGATTGAAATGTTATTCAGTTGTTCATATTCTTATAATTTTTTTCTAGTTTCAACACATTGAAATCAGCGACCAAAAGTAATTTAGAGAGATTTTGAATATCTATAAAAATAAAACTGAAAACCTTTCAGGATAAAAATGAAAATAATAAATTTATATTATTTAAATTCCTTATTACGTTAATCAAAACATTTTAAATATTAAATTTTAACATTTTAAATTTAATTCATACTTTGGAAATTAGCATAGGTGGGGGTTTTTTTCACCTTGAGAACATTTGCAAAAACTATGATAGAAATGTTTTTCAGTTGTTCATTTTCCAATAATTTTTGATATTTTCAATACATTATCGAAATCAGTGACCAAAAGTAATTCAGAGAGATTTGGGATATCTAAAAATAAAACTGAACACCTTTCAGGATAAAAATGAAAATAAGACTTTTATTTTATTGAAATTCCTCATCATGCTAATAAAAACATGGTAAATATTTTTATTCAGACTTTGAAAATTGAAATAAGCATAGGTGAGGGTTTTTTTCACCTTGAGAAAATTTGCAAAAACTATGATAGAAATGTTATTCAGTTGTTCATATTCTAATTTTTTAAACATTTTCAACACATTATTGAAATCAGTGACCAAAAGTAATTCAGAGAGATTTTGGATTTCTAGAAATAAAACTAAAAACCTTTTAAGATAAATAATGAAAAGGATAATTACCCGAATTTTCTGAATGTTGGAAATATTTTCGTACAGAAATGATATTTTATTTCGTGTGTCTTGGGAATAATAAAATTGTTTCGATTATCATATGATAAATTTATTAGGGCAATAAAAATGTTTGCTTTAATTAGAACAATCGCAAAAAATTAAACCACACTCTCGACAAGAGACTGTATAAATGCTAAGCTTCCATGTGTATGAATGAAAGCAAAAATTGTAAATCATAGCAGAAAGAAAGACATTTTGCCAAAAATTAATAGTTTTCATGGTCACTCCGAAACAACAATCGATCGAATCGCCGAAGAGTCCCTCGAATCCGACTCAATTTTTTTTTTAATCTTTGCAAAATCCGGGAGTTGAAAACAATCCGATAAAATCGCTTCATCGGGGGAAAAAAAAGTATTTTTATTGGCCAATTTTTCGCATCACGCGAAGAAAGAGTCGGGAAGAGAAAAATTGCCGACTTATTATCTGCACAGACGTGATGCGGAAGCGCCTCTGGAAGTGCGAAAGACATTTTGAGGTGAAGGAAAATGGCGGGGATTAAACCGCAGAAAAACGATATGGACGTGGTTCAATTCCTTTCGTAGGGGTCATGCAAAAAGTACTGTTGTGGTGTCTCGGTTAATGGCCTTGCTCGATTCGAAATGGGATGAGAGACTCAATGAAGTTATTGAAGCACTTTCAAGCTGATTCAGTTACAGAATATGACCAAAAAACGGTCTCTCACTTAATATCCTATTAAATTTTAAGATCCTTTTTTTTTTTACATTTATGACAGCATGAACTGATATTTTTCAGCGCAATTTTTTTTTTACAGCCTTGCTTTTCAGTGTTCACAAGGTTCAATCAATGTTACCACATCCAGGTGCCAAGATTCAAGCTCACTTCCCTTTAGAAATGAATTATTTCCAAGGACATGATCATGAACTTGACTTTTTTTTTAAATACCCCCATCCTTTCTGTTCTGCAGCAGAAAAAAAATTGCAACAACAAAATTTTAAGCATCAATATTTGGAGCTTAAAAAATAATATGTCCACGCTTGTGAAATATATTGAGCAATAAGTTAATCTTGAAGTCACATTCAATTTAATATTCTCAAAATCCAAAGGTTTACAGAAATGGAAAAGAGGGACTTCCTCCATTCCACCATTTTTAGTTAAATGTAAGCGTAAAATTATTTCCCATTAATATAAGGGTGTTTTATAGGTAGTAATTGTTAGACACTTTGACTTTTCATGAAATGTTCTTCTACATATATTGAGAAATGAAGTTGAATTAAGTGAATATTACAACCAAGTTTTCCAATTTATACATGAGAAGTGGCATCTTGGAACACAGGTATGAAACATTAGCACAAATTAACTGGGTTTTTTTCCAATTTTGCAAATCACCAAGTCTTGAAATTTTCTTTGGCTGTAAACAGTGTCAACTCAAACACCTCATCTGGAGACCACACAGCATAAATTTCAGTCATTTAAAATTTATCAGAAGGAATAATTACCATACTGTACAGCAGGTGGTACCTTGGAATTTGAAAACCCTGCAATTTGTCATTCTCACAATTCAACGGTCAAATTTGATGGGAGGTTGACTTGCAATTTGACCTCTGCCCCACAACTTTGACCCACAGAGAGCTGCAAAAACGTCAAATACTATGAAGAAAACCTCAAATTTGATGCTGCTTTGCAATTTGGCCACTTCACAATTTCACCATAATATAGTCCAGTACCATGATTAGGGTCAAATTTGGCACCTGTATTTTGAGAATTCTTGGAACATGAATCAGCATCACTTGGATGCATGCATTATAAAGTTCTCTTTCTTAATTCATATACTTTAGGAAAATAATTTAAAATTACCAAACAGAATTTCAACATGCTAAAACAGAGCTTTTACAGTTTTTTTAAGATCAGCATCTAAAAAATCTCTACAGCAGGGTTTTCCTACATGCCCCCCCAAAAAATGTTAGGGTAATACATTTTTTTTTTCTTCACCTTTCCTTTAGCATAACAGAAAATAAAATGAAAAAATAGAATGCTCCAGTCAGCCACATACTAGAGAAGTGCCAACAGCTTCTATAGTCCTAATAACAAGCAACATCCTTGCATTGGCAAAAAAAAATTTCGCTCTCAGCTGATGTTTAAAGTTTTTATAATAATCATCAATAGATGGAAATTTTACTTTTGTTTGCCAAATCCAAGTGTATGAATAAACGATGATTCTATCATGCAAAAATGTCATTCGCACTCGGAAATTCTATGTCAAACGAAATCCACAAATAATTACGTTTGTCGATTCGCTTACTCATTTTTCAAAAAAATTAAATGAATACTGTTTCTCGTGAATGTATGAATGACTCATATATCCTATATACCGAGAACCACGGTTTATGGAATAACCCTCGGGGCATTTCTTCTGGGATTTTCCAACGGATCGTGAACATCTTTTCCTTTCCGAACAACTAAAACAATTGCAATTTCCCTTCAAACTCGAAAATAAAATCAATAAGGAGGAACACGATAAAAAATAATTTTCCGAGGAAACGTTTGAAATTGAAGAGAGAAAAAAAACTGGATGCGAGGGATGAGAAATAATTACCCCGTTCTCTGCGTGACTTTTTGCACCACAGGTGCTCATGATCAACTGATGGAGAGAAACCAAAAGGGGAGAAAAAATCCCTTGACGGAAAAGGAAGAAAATATCGATTTTCATTAAATTGATAACCCCTTTGTTTCCCCGAATCGTCTTCAAATATTTTTCAAAAGAATAAAATATGTTCCTCACATAATGGCGAAAAAAAAAGAGGACGAGCTGCTTCACAACAATGCTTGGTTATATTTGAGGCTCCAAAAAAAAACAGAAGCCTTTGCTGAGAATTATAGATTCGAAGTACAGTATTTTCATAAATTTGTATTCAACCTAGACAATAATTTTAAAAGGTGGCAAAGAAATTTTGGGGCTAATTATGCAATCATAAATTTTTTTACTGTTTGAGCATGCTGAAAATTTGAAGAATTTTGGATTGAAGAATTTAGGACAAAAGATGAGAGAATTTGGTATTTTCAAAAATTCCTTATCCACCTGAAAAGCACTTTCAAAAGGTGGCAAAGAACTTTTTGGAATAATTCTGAAATCGGATAATATTTAAGAAAAAATCTGTGCATGCTCAAAAAGTGACAATTGGCTCAAAGAAAAGATCAATTGGATGATAATACAATTATAATTTTTTTAATCTGCATCTTTGATAATTCCCATTAGAAAGACAGCTTCATAGAATTTCAGAAATCAGTTCCATAAAAATTCAAGAAGAAAAATTACATACACTGATGATTAAGCTTGGTACATGATACCATAGCTCTTTTGACAAATTCATGGCATTTTAATAAAACAAATCATAAAAATTTTTACGGTGTCTAAGTGGTGTACTTTTTGCAGTGTATATACATTGGTTTATGTATCACCAGAGCACCTTCTTTTCTTATGCCCAGCATTCCAAAACTACAGAAATGAGCTTCAAAAATATTTGGGACTCTTAAAATTCAATAAAAAGACTCTTTCCAAAATATTAGAGGACTGAGATGAACCATTAACCTTGTATGATTTCTCATGAAAGATTCTCTCCTAATGGTTCAATCAACTATAAACCTTATCTGGGAACAGGCTGAGCACCTTGTGCTTCAATTTGCTGGGTTCAGTAATCGCCTTATGCCTAAATTTGTATTACTGAAATTTTGTTTTTGTTATCAGGGAAGGGAAGAAAGTGTGCATATTTACATCAGTTGCAAAATTGTTCATTCTTTTCTTTTAATATCCATATGCAGTTTATTTCTCTGTTTTGCATTCTGATGTGATGGAATGTGTTTCGATAAATGC